TAAAATAACAATTTATATATAATTTCATCAATATTGTTTATATTTGGATTTTTAAAGTTAATCGATTTTGCAAATGATTGACTAAATTACTTCTATAATCTATTTCGAATGTTAGTTACATTTTATTAACCTTCAATAAGTAGATATATTGAACGAATAAATCTCTGATAATAATTTCAATCTTGTGATTCTGTTGTCTGACAATATGAAAGAACAAAAATAATGAAAAATGTATGTACATATACACACATATGTATATGGGAAATAGCGGATACGCTCGTTAAGGTAATCACCTATGTCGCAAAATATATAAGTATATTAATACATATGTATATCATATGGCAAGTTTACTTTTCACTGCCAACAACGATCGTTCGTCGTTACCAACTGCACCGTACGATTAGTAGCGGATCATTACGCGTCTGACGATGATTCTTTCGAGAGAGTTCCCGTCGCGGTTCTTTGACCTCAACTTAACCACAAACTTCTTATTCGTAGGGTCGTCCTCTTTGTCGTTGTTGTCTCGTTCCTGAGAGTACGTGTCCTTGAGAGCGAATACAAGTGATCCTTGAACCAAGCAGGAACGTCGTTCGACTGGTATCGTTGCAAACTAACTTCTCGCTTAACCACGAAGGTAGATATGTATATGTGTATATATATGTATAGATGTCAGCGTTAAATTTTATAATTCAGTTAAATCATGGAAACCCTATGTCCTTATATGAAATAATTAGGCGTTTTAAGAAAAGCATACAAAAAGAATTTTGTAATACACTTAAACTTGTTATTTTATGAAGTAACTTATGTTAGTAAAATATGAATTCTGGAGAGGCGAGTAATTAAAGTATCTCATATGAAAATTTGATTCATCTTTAAGGGTTGTCTTATCTTTTTACAACAATGCTCATAGTTATTTCTTCCTGTACTTTAAAAATCAATATTCTGTTAGTCGTGCTGTTCTACAGAATATTATCTACGGATTAAATTTTAATTTCATATCTATGTAAATGTAATTCTATATTATTTCATATTTTAACAAATCAGTATAGTTATTTTATAGTTTAGCTGGGAATTTCATGAATAAACAGATTTCGCGTTCTTTCAGAGGTACTCTATATGTATGTATCGAATAAGTTTGTAAAATGTAGACGGTACAATCTCAAAAGTAAATTCCTTTCATCGGTGACCCACCTTGAACATAATTTTCTATCTAGCGTTCTACAAGCCCTTCGCTCGTTCCACGTAATTCTCGATTTGTCTCTCCCATAGATAGGTGTTTTAAGAGTGTATGTATGCATGTAAATGATAAGGTATTTTACACGTAGGAAAACGAGTGTACTTTAATTTAATATAAGTTGCACTCAAATTTATTCACTCTTAGTATAAAAAATATTTACAGAAACTTTTCAAAAGAAATATCAGAGATTGCAATGCTGTAAATTGTGCATCTTTGCTATTTCTTTGAAAAGTTTCTGTAAATATTTTTTATACTGTTAGCAAATGGATTTTAATGATTTTTATATTAAATTAAAGTACACTTTTTTGTCTACGCGTAAAATATCATATCGAGTTATAAATTTAGCATGTAAAGTTCAGAAAATGGCAAGAATGTGACGCTGCAAATTTTTTCTACTTTGCCATTTCTTTGAAAAGTTTCGGCAAATATTTTTTATACTTAGAGCAAGCGAATTTTAATAATTTTTATATTAAATTAAAGTGCACACTTTTGGTTACGCGTAGTGTACCTTATCGAGTTATAAATCGATTTGCAAAGGTTCAGGCTATATTTTCTAGACATTAGTTAGACAGATATTCATAGAAATTTCCACGGATGTCCGAGAATGTATTGTTTTCAACGTTGTTTAAATAATAATATAATATTTTATAGAATATCAAATTATTATGTTCAGTGCTTAGGAAAAACTGTAAGAATTCTTCTGTTTCCGACTTTATCGGAATGCTCTTTGCATTGATGAGAATGTCGAGGAATTACTAGTAATGGCGGATTTCTGGCTATGACGGTAACATTTACACTGACTAGAAGTATATAGGACCGTTTACGTAACATCATATCTATCGTATAAGTATCTTATTTCTCTGCTAGTATGTGTGACCAAGTGATGTATAGATATAGTACGAAACGAGTCATTGTACTTAGCTTACAAGGAATTTACGATTAAAAAGATTTATCGATGTTTCAATAATCGATCAATCATTTTTCATATACGAACTATTCTTTATTGCAACACATGTATATACATACGTATAATTTCATTCTATTTCTCTCATTCTCTCTCTTTCACAAGATGAGGGATGCAATTTGATATTTCAAAGTAGGGATAACTGCTAGACTTGAAGAAGTGGAACTTTAAATTGAATTTTGATTATTATAATAGATCAACGTATGATCAAGAGTGTGTGAAAGTTTTAAAAAAAGAAACATATACCATATAAGTGTCAGTGGAATAAATAAAACAATTTAAAAACAAAAATTTGTTTTATAATTTATAATTTATATTATAAAAAATAGATTAGAAAATATAAATTTTATTGAATTTTTGGACTTTGTCTATTGTTATTATAATTACTGGCGTATATACTTGTGTAGAATCATCCTCTTTGACAAGTATAATTAATTGCGAGAAGGGAAAGAGAAGATTTAGAAGAGAAAGAAAATGTAGGTGTCGAAAGAATGAAAAATTTTGGTCGATTAACGATAAGCCTCGTTACGAATGTAACAGGATCAAGTATAAAGTTATCGGTGCGTTTGATTATGGCGAAGTAGCTGGTTTATTTTTCCGTCGGCGTATCTTGGAGAAAGCCGACGAAGTACGCTAGCCCGTTTTGTGTCGTAACAACGTGCCGTGCGATATTGTTTATGAAAAGAGAGCCAACGAAAAAATGTCGTATGGTTCGGCCTTCGGCTTGTCCTGATATATTACTTACACAATATACGGGGTAGAGAATGTAAATGGGAACAAACGAATATTTTTTGATTCATTTGCACGCTCGCGCGTATAGCTATTTTTTTATTCAAACATTTTATTTATTTTTTGAAAACTATAAGTATAGATACAGCGAAAGAAACTATCTTTAGATAAGCTAAATTATTCTTGGAATTTCCATTTAAATCTTTTACTCTTTATGGATTAATGTATATTACATTTTATATATGTACTTTTGCATATATGTCAATTTAGTGGTTAGCTGATACATTTTTTCATATTTGAATTTTTAACATAATAAAAAATATGATAAAATATATCTCGGTTTATTTCTTTTGATGTATTGCAAGTGAAAGAAAATACATACAAAATAAATAAAAAAAAAAATACTTATTTGATGAAATACAAATGTTTCTATTTATCGTAATAATTATTTTTGTATTACTTTAAATGTTATTTTTATTATGTTCATCATAACAATATTATTAAAATTTAGCTATATATATTCATTATCTTATTTATTTCTATTGAATGTATAATAAAAAATTAATCTGCGTGTAATAAGTAATGTATGATTAGAATATTCTAGCTGTATATTTCATACAAGATATGTTTTGATCTCTTCTATATAATATATAAGTCTATATATAAAAAAAAACACGTAGATACTAGGCGTGTCGCCTCTAACGGGCTCCTCGCAAATTAAATTCACTTTCGAACGTGCGTACGGAATCCGCCGATCGAAAGTGAACGTAGGACGCGTAAGAACTAGCACGTTAAATAGAATGTATGTGATTGTACTAATGAACTCTAGGATAATTTTTTTCAAATAGATTTTTGACTATTAAATAATCACACATTTAATCGATGGTTAATGTTTGATTGCCGACGTGTTCGAGGACGTTAATGTAAGTTCATCACGAAGCGATTGTACAAAACAACAAAAAATAGTAATTCATGTAACGTTCGATGAACAGCAGGCATGTTTCGTTCTGGAACACGCCAAGTTACGTGCTAGAGAAATAAAGAAAAAAAAGAAGAAAAAAAAAATAGAGAGAATGGGTGTTACGAACTTCTCTAATCCTTAACGATTCTCAACTAGTGATTTCGTTGAAACGAAACTAACTGTATAAAAGAATTCAAGAAGAAGAAAGCGAATTCACGATGTTCTTAGGGTGGAGCATATCGAGTGGAAAGTCGAGCGGAGCGTGTTCTGGAATCAATGACGAAATTGGCTCCTTTTAAAATCAAAGAATAGTTAACGGAGATTGTCTTCTATGAAATAGAGAAAGAGAAGCAGAAAGTAAGAAAGGGGAAGAAGAGAAACGAATAGAAACAGCAACAGCTGTCTTTCTTCTCTTCTCAACCCTTTGTTTAATCAAATTCAAAAAGAAAAAAAATATATAAGAGAGATCGACACGTAAAATGAAGATCCGCATCGCGTTATGGTTCGTTGTTTAACGTTGAGAAAACTGATTTATCGCGATCACGGTCATGCTTCCTCCGGAAGATGAACGAAATGAGAATAACAAATCCTCGATTTCCCGGATTTCCCCATAATAATCCGGCTCGATTCATTTTAAATGGTTTCTTTCTCTCTCTTATAGATCACTTATGATTTTCTTTTTGATTATTTTCTCAGAGAGATTTCATTCGTAATTATTAAGATTTCAAATAGTTTACTTTGTTTCGTTCGAAAAAAATCACGCGAATTAGTTTAACGATTATTGCTACAATCCTCGAAGGAAAACGTTTAAGAGATTCGCGCGTTTGTTGGATAAACACTGTGATTATACCGGTCTCCCCGTCGGATGGGGTAATCCAAAATAGAATTTCATTAGACTCGTTTAAGTCGTGTGCTATTTTTTTACGAACTCTTCCTAAGAACATTCGGGTTGATCAACAACAGCTAACCGCGAGTCACCTCTTTTCGTTTGATTTTTATCCTTCACAAAAAGATCATTTAACTCTCTCTCTCTCTTTCTCTCTATTTCTTTATTTAACATCCCAGGTAGAGTAGACTAATGATAAGTGAAATTCGTTGAAGACACCGACCTGGTCTCACGGCTCCGCTGTTTTTTCGCTGTTTAATCCCTCATGAAAGCACCGTCGTCTTCTCATGAAAGCACACCAGGAAAGAGAGAGATAAATCTTTCTCTCCTTTCTTTTTTTTTTTTCTCCCTTATATATATATATATATATCTGTTTGGTACACACGTATTATTATTATTATTCGATAAAAGTAATACAAAGGAAATAATCAAAATAATATGTTTCGATGAATAAAGGTTATGGAAGAAGGGTGGTGCCGGTTCACTCGGTAATAAGCCAACAAAAAAAAATAATAATAAGTAAAATATATCTTTAGTTTACACGTTTCGAGATAGAAGCAAGACCGCGCGTCCGGTCCAGTCAGAAGACTGCGCTCTGGAAGTGGAAAAGCCAGCAACAGGAGCGTTGTTGCGCTTGGCCCACCGTTGGGTCTGGTCGAGCTTTCTACCATCGAGGATAAAATCGTGGTGGAGGGGAACAACTCGGACTTCCATTGGCGTCCTCTTACTCCTTCTCAATTGACGTTCTATTCCGTTCCACTCTTCTTTACTCTTACTTCTATTCCTCCAATGGCGTAGAATCTTATTATTACATTTATGAAGTTCCTTGACTGTATTGGAAAGGCAAACTCCTTTCTTCGATTCCGAGTCGAGTACACCTGCGTCGCTACTTTACGAACGAATCATAATCCACCCACTACTTTTAATCTAGAATGAATATATCATGATATATATATATATTCTACTAGATTTAACGTTCATTCGGTGACATTCGAATGCAAATCATCAAAAATAATAATGGAGACTATTTAGAAAAATAACAGAGATGTATGATTACTTTACTTAATAAATGAGTAATATTAAATTTGTTAAAAAGATCATCGAATTAATTTTACTACAATAATATATTAGATTAATTAATGAATTATTTTATTACGATTAATTTAATTAATTATATTTCGATAAACGAAAGAAACTCAAGTTTAACTGCAGGGATAAGAAGAATGGATGAGATATAGAGCAAACCACACAGGGCAGATTTCCCATTCCTCCCCCATTCCCCCCCCCCACTCACATACGAATAAACTCTTATAATAATGTACGTTATAATCGTATCGTCGAATATCTATCGAAACAAAGTGAAAGTGGAACGCGTGCTCTCTCGACAAAAGGACGTGCTAGAGCTCGCCTTGCAAACGACATGTGCGGGGGCCACTTTGCCGATATTTTCATACGATCGATAGCCATCTTGATAGTTACTTACTTACGTTGAGAATCGTTAAAATTTGAAAATTGATTATTAGATTCTAAGTACTTGATTGATCCAATTTTTTGTTTCTTATTTTCATTTAATATTGATAATAATAGCAATCAAATCAAATTTATTATCTGATGCGCGTTTTATTTTAAAAATAGTATTTATTGTATTGAGAATTATAGTTATATATTATATAAGGAATAGTATTTTATGTTATATAAGATGTTACCAATAACTAAAGTCAAATTATAATTTCATTTCTTTTATAGATAGAATAAAATTTGTTATTGTTTGATAAATTTTATCATCAAGTTATGCGAATTATTGCAAAAATTAACATAAATCATATAAAAATAATCTATATCTAAGAATTCATAACGATAATCAAGACATTTACTATCTTGTTCAAAAAGAATCTTTTTTGTTTTTCTTATTTATTTAATACTACCAAGTTTCTTCATGAGTTCCTATACGTCTATTGATCTTTCGATAAGGGATCGTCAAGAATTCCGCACAGTTCTGAATACACACGCCCCTGATATTTGCAAATGTGACGTGCAACAAGAAAATCAAAGAGAGAGAGAGAGACATTAAAAAAGAAGCACTCTTCTCCCTCTTTCTTTCTTTCTTTCTCTTGATACGCATTGTTTTTCTCCTATTTCGCGATACGATCTACCCGCAAAACCTCTCTCTCTCTCTCTCTCTCTTATGATTTCTTATTAGAATGGAAAAAAAGGAATGACGAAAGCAAGGTAAAAGGTGACTTAGATGCTCTCTCTCTTTCTAGTAACTTGGCCTTCACTATTGCGTGCTTTTACCTATGCTAAAAAGATTTAGAAAAAAGAAAAAAAGAAAAAAGACGTAATTTTGCGTTCATCTGCCAGGATTGTAAATATCAAATAATGACTTTCTAACGTTAAACAAATGTTTGATCTTTTCGCGTTATCTTTTAAGATTGTTAATATTGATTGTGGAATAATAGGGTGGTAGTCTGAACTTAATAAGAATTTCGAGTGAATTTAAATAAAGTTCAGAGATGTTCGAAAGTTTGTGTGTTTATTATTCGTTTTATATTATTATCTATATCTGTAAATTTATATATTATTTTTATAATATTATTTATAATTGAGAATCTTTCACAAATGATGTCATTTACGATGTAACTTAGTCGATAGACAAGCCATAAAGTACGCCCACAGTCCTGTTTATTCTCAGTTATATTATACAAGGTATTCCAACATGTTTCTATTAAACTTTCTAGGTGCAGTTTTATGATTAAACACACTCTAAAGAAATCATTTGTAATTCACTGAGAGCGCTGAAATGTAAGTTTAGTCTATAATTGAATTATTCGAACAATTGATGTAATAATTAAATTTTTTCGGATATTAGTATTAAATTGTGTAAAAGGTTTCTTCGTAATTTCAATGCTAAAACTGAGACAAGTTCTTTTTTTCGTATTTTGGATCAAGTCATCTCCAAATAATTTAAAATTATTTTGTAATCAACGCTTAGTTTCTTATCGATATCATGACTACTAATCTATGGAAACTATCCTAGAACACCTTATATATTCAAAGACGACTCTCGATTAAATTCTCTCATAACGGATACAGGTGCGTGCAAACATCTCGATAACTTTAATCTCTTGACGAGTATCGATGATCGTCTTTCTTTATTTTTATTATTATTTATCTACGAGTAGTATCTGTTATTTAAAATACGGATGGGCACATAATATAATAATTATTCAAATGTCATATGCGAGATATTATCAGTTCAGGAAGCTTCACTGTTTTTTGTTATTTTTTTTCTGTTTTTAATGGCTTGTTATGCATCGCCTTAGGCCGATTGTTATAAAATTTATCAAGAAAATGCATCAAAAAAAGAAAAAAATCACTCCGATTTCCATTTCATCCTGTTTTGACATTAATATATGTCTCTTTAACGATGCTGTCGTCCTTGGAATACTAAAAATGAACTTATTGAAAACGGAAGTAACATCTTTACGATCGAGAATGTTGAGAACGTATTCTGGAATACGATTAATCTTAATTTACAATAAAAATGTGTTATTCGAATAATCGAATGTATGAAATTCGATTGGAAAAGTGTAACAACACCTGCATCAAAGTTTCGATTGCGGTGAGAGAATCAGCTGTTCGTTCCTCGAGACTGTTCACTTTCTATTATCCAATCGTGCCAAGAAATCGCTGAAGTTCGATTCTGTTAGTAGGCGACTCCACCTTTCATGGTGAGATGAGAAATTCTCTGTGTAGTACTTTAAATTGACACTTAAATTACAAAAATTGAAAAATTGGAATCTTGACAAAAAGAAAACACACACACACACACATATGCATGTTAATTAAAATAAAACTTATATTATTATATCTAAAAAAGTCAGTAAAGAAAATGATTGTTTGTAAAAATATTAAAACGTTATTATAGTTTTAATATACACATTGGAAAAGAAATATTTTCAATTTTAATCAGTTTATCTATGTTCGATTAAAATCATCGTTGGACAGTAGTACATGGGGTAAAAAAGAGAAATTCTATAACACACGTCGGTAAGTTAGATAGTTGTAATACAATAACTTGTATAAAATAATGCCGACTGTATTATTGTTCTATTGTTGTATTGAGTTTATAGAAAAAGATTTTTTTTATTAATATACACTCTTATTGCTATATATATACGGGTGTCAAATTCTTTGACAATATTAAATCCTGTTTCCATTGACGTCTCTGTAGAGGTCATCGTTTATGCCATAAAGTCTTGGCGAATCGTTACAGTCGACCTGTAAGAACAAAAAAGATAGGACCAAAATATTTTCTTTTTATTATTTAATTAATGAATTTTGTATATTTATTAATTTACCTTGAACCACCAATCACAGACTCGTGCCGTTTGACTAAATACTGTGCCATTAGGACAAAGGAAGCTGAATTGTCGACCGTTTGGTAAGCACCAATGCCATACCTACAAAAAAAGAAAACAAATTAAAAATAATCTAATATTTATAAATAATGTAATTATAAGAAATTACGATGCACACACACACACACACATACACACCAGTTTTTCTCTTTTTGAGATGAGGGTTATTTGTAGAAATGATAATTTTGTATACTAACCTGACATCTTGCTTCTGGATCCGCATAATATCCAGGTAACTTTCCTCCACAGGTAAAAGTTAGTCCAAATGGTACGGAATTGTAGATGGGATAATCGACACCAGGTGTGTAACCATCGACTTGCTAAAAATTTAATACGATTATTCATCTCAAATTTCATCACACACACAAATACACACAGAAACACATCTTCCGTTATGTTTTATAAGTAGCTTCCTATAAAAATATTTTAATATCTTCTTTATGTTCGTAAAAAAGAAAGGATTTAATTAATCTTTTAATAAGTACACGCGCGCGTACACATACCATTAATTTGTAAGAAGACATATTTTCAAAATTCCTCTCTCACATAATTTCGTTAGTTAAATTCGTAATAATGACGAGAAGAGGTGTGGTAAAAAAAAAAAACACACACACACACACACAGGTAGCCTCATAAGAAGGATTGCATCATTATCATTCTTTCGAAACGCAACGTCCAACGTATTTACTTTCGCTGCATATCATCGTCATTGATGAAGGAACCTGTGGATCTTTGAAGAGATTCAAGACGAGAATAATGCACGGCTATAAATCGCATTTCCTCTATTATCTCGACGATACTCGAAAAGATAAAAGGTGAGAGGTAGGGAAAATAAAGATAAAAATATAGAGAGAGAGAAAGAGAGAGAGAGAGAAAGAAGATGTTAAAGCGAGAGGGTGAGCTAATTAACTAATTTTTCGCAATCGACTCGAGAAGAAGAGATCATTGCGACACGTCACGGCGTATCGGAGTTAGTTCAATGTATACACATGCCAACAGCTTGACCGGAAGTCGGATTACATTGTTCTTTGCGAACGGATGCACATCTCCATGCCCCTTTGTATTCGAGTTCTTGTTTACTGTTTACCGGTTACGAGCTCGTGCTCGCGTGCGAATGAGTACCCCCATTGCTCCAGCTTCTTCTATTATCTTCTTTTCCAATTGAAACTCGAGAGAAGAGAAGATATCATCGTGTTTTTCGCTATGACAGCTGAACTGGTCAAGGTTGTATATAGGTATTTAATTGAAATCCAACAAATTTAGTATTATTATATTTTTTGGATTTTTATCTTGGATTTTTAGCACCATTTTTCGAAATTCGATACTTTTTTCATACGCTTTCGTATGATCGTTTATACATCAGTGATGTCATAGAAATATTTATACACATTCCAAATGTAAATTTTAAATTATTGATATTTACTTGTAATGCAAAACTTTTAAATTCTTAAACATACAAACTTATTTTCAGATTATTAAATTCTTTTAATTGATATAAATTTGATTGCAAAAGAATATTTTATTATTAAAGAAATGTGATTTTACTTGAATGATCAAAACTTTGTCTAACAAGGGTATTTGTATCTACGTAAGATATTATAGAAATACAATGATTATTTTTTTGTAAGTGGTACTAGCATCTTATAATGCTTTTGAGATGATTAAGCATATTTGATAAGACAAACTTTTTTTATCAGTTATATACAGTTTTAATTTTCTTATAATCAAATGCTCTTTTGTGTAATAAAATTAATATTAATTTCAAAATTGGGGAATAATCCTAAAGTATGTTTTTGTGTATAAGAATTTAAAAATATTGTATTACAAAAAAATATTGATTGTTTTAAATTGACAATAGTGGTACAAATACTCCTATGACTCACTCTATATCAGAACGGTGATTCTCTTTGTAATCTCATTCGCGATCTTCTCAAATTCGTGCCTCCTCTCAATGTGGTCCTCGCATCCGGTGAAATTTTCTGCGTTCACGCATCGAGATCCACGCGACGTTTTAGCCTTCACACTTCATGGATTTAGTTGTTCGTGTTTACAATGGGAGTCCCTATTTATCTCAACTTTCCGTACAATTTTGCAACAACTCATTCGGTAATATAACGTCGTTCAATTTTCAAACGAAATTTTCTCTTTTCTTTTTTTTTCATGTTCTATTTTTTTGTTAATAACTTATTTGCACGGCTGATGATTTTTAAATGACTTTTCGTTGTTCGTATTATATTCTCTCTAAAGTCGAGTCGTATATACAATTTCTATTTTAGCATATCAATTTTATTCCGGAAACGGAAATTACTTGCGCCCTAAAATCTAATATATATGCAAATCCGTTATACGTATAAGTCGTATGTTATGTTTTGTTTTGTTTTTTTTTTAAATAAAAGTAGAACAAATATTAGAACGAAATGTTATCGAGCCACGAGTAAGACATTTGTTTTTTTTTTAATGAATTTTATTCACAGTTACCTCAAAGATTCTGAATACCCCTAACAAGACACGGTTCTTTCTAGAAAGCACCTCTTCACGTAAGAAGAATTAATTATTGAATTACTTAATGTTGCCAACCGAAAGGAAGATGCGTGCGAGATACCGCTTACTCGCTCACTGTCATTGTTGCATAGCGAGTCGTGAGAAGACGCGATGAAAATAATAATTTTGCGCTTTAAATATAATAGGTTGCTTTCGCAAATGAGATTCCGTTCCCTTTCTATGACAAGCGCGGGCCTGACAAATTACGTAACTAGCGATCGTTTCTTTTTCTTTTTTTTTTTATTTTCTTTTCAGATTCCACCGTTCCGCGAGAATTCGTTGCGACGACGCGTGAGACGGAGACGCATCCAATGTCTGTCTGTTTGTCTGTCTGTCCTGTGGTTAACTGTTTATTATTTCATCTAATCATTTTCTTTTCTTTTAATAATTTACTTACCGCCATCGTCCGATAAAACAAGATAGTCGTAAGCAGCGTGATCGCAGCGAAAACTTGATATCTCGAAATCATCTATAATTAATCAAATAATTTAACTGGATATTGTGAGTTAAATAAAAATATAAAAAAAAAAGAAATAATATATTATAACTATACAGAGAAGAAAAATAGAAAGAAACACACGCACACAAAATGAAACTTGATACAAAACGAAATAGTTTTTGCTATATATAAAGACGACTTAATGGTTCCGAGTTAAAATGAATATGCGATTCATTTTGAAACGATGTAAGACGAATAAAGCGTAAAGGGTTATAAACGTCAAAGTATAAAAAACAAATGGCCGACGAACCGTTTCGGAAAAATCCTATCTCTCCTTGGAGTCCTTAATATCCTTCCACGTGGCTGGCATTTATCTTGGCGCGATTTGTTTTTCGATTGGCTGCTTTGCGCCACACTGGACTTTTCTCTCTTTCTCTCTCTCTCTCTCTTTCTTTTTTTCTCTTTTTCTCTCTTTCTCTCTCTCTCTCCCTCTTTCTTTTTCGTTTCACCAATAACGAATTTGAAGACGACGCTATAACTTCAAAGTGTCTTCCTCAAAGAACAGAACCACGAAGTGGTGGTATATATATGGCTTTAGAGATCGAGAATAAAGAAAAAGGGGGGGTTCTTGAGAGCCCCTCTTTCATGGGGCTCCCACAAGTCGGACGAACGAAGGAAGAGAAGATCCCAGGAGGGAGGTTGGAGAGAGGAATATAGAGGAATCCCTCCTGCGGAGCAACAGATTCTTTTATTACGTAATTACCTCGTGTTCTTACACCCGTGAAAACGCGAGTCTCCTACAACCTCCCAGCCTCCCTTCCCCTACCCCATCATCCTCCTTATATCCTTCCACCTACTCCTCTTCCTGACCACTCAGAATCCTCAAGTTTTCTCGATACGGAAATTACATTCAGCCGGTACACCTCTGTTGTTCTTTCATTATTTTTCATCGTTTTCATTAAATCATTCTATTATTTTTTCTTCATTACTTTTAACGATTTATTTCTTCATTTAAAAGTAACCGCATAATGGTGTAAGAATGTATTTTAGACAAATATAGGTGAAATGATCTAATGTCAGTGTAATCGTTAATTATTACGAGATTATGATTTGTCTTGAACACCATTCAACTTACGATTGATCATTTTCTTTATATTTATCGTATATTTTAAGTATTTTATTTATTACTTTCAACACAGATCTCTTGCGTTTACGCCATTGTCATAAATATTACAAAGAATTATGCGTATAATAAAGAGAGAAGATCGTTTAAATCGTTCGTATATTTCTTTCTATTATTAGAGATGGAACGAATAAATAAAAGGATACGGAAGAAAAACGGATAAGCGATGATTTATCTTGAACGAACGTTTTCGCGCTTGGATTATCGGATTCTCAGGAAACATTCATAATAATGTGTTTGATCTACTACCCTTTATCGCTGCTCCTTCTCCACCTTTTCTTTATTCTTCTTCATTATTTTTTATTCTTGTGAATATTAAATCCGTTCGTATAGTATGTACTTATTTAGTTACGTAATCATAAAACCCGATCTCGGAGGCGTTAAAATGGCGCGAGTCTTAAACGAACCCCGCCGAGTTTCTCATCATTTAAAAGGATCGATTGTTAATTCAATGCTGCTTAATCAACGACTACTATGTTATTTTCTTTTTTCTTTTTCCTATCTTACGAAGAATACGAGAACAGTCATTTCCTTCCATCAGATACGCGAACGTCTAGTTAATTAGTTTTTTTTTTCTTTCGGATTAATCGACGAAATGGAAAATACTAGGAGATATAAGAGGAGAGAGTGGGGGTAAATACTCATCCCTCTGAAACGGATCCTTCTCAAGATCCAAGGTCGTAAGAGGAAAAAAGCCAACCTATAATACGATCGTATGTGTAGTAAGTATATTTATCAGCATTAAAACTTAGCCAAGCGAGAAACAAAAGGCTCGATCGTATCCTTCCCTCACTCTCTCTCTCTCTCTCTCTCTCCTTTTTTTTTATTTTTCGTCGTCCTTCAAACTCTCGAAATGATCTGCGTCCTCGCGTGACCGATGGCCCATTTCTTTTTTTCTTTTTCTCTTCATAACAGAAGCTTCCTCTACTTGTTTTATTCTTTTGGAATATATAAAAATCATGAAAATATAATAAATGTAAAATAAAAAATATCTGATATTGAAATATATACGCGAGCAACCTTGGTCTTTTATTTTATACATATTTGTGTGTTAGTATATTATATTTCTAATTTCTTATTATGAAATACTTAGAAGAGAGTAGTTTTGAGAGGATGACCGTTATGGCGCTCTCACGAAGAGATTTCTATGTTATATTTAACTCATAACAAGACGATTACTCCAGTTAAGCCGAAGTATAACAAACGTGAGAAATCATTTCGAGATCTATCTAATAATAATATTAATAGATTCGGCAGTTACTCAATATCCTGTTTAACATCGAGTTAGAAACGTCATACGTTATTTACATAAAACATATATTTTTACACAACGAACAACTTTTCACATATTATTCTCTTGTTTTCTTTTTGTTTTTATTTTTGTATTAAAGAAAATGATAAAAAAGGTTAAATCGAAGAACAGTCATTGCTAAGAATTATCAAATGTGTTTATTTGCGTAACAAACAAGTCAGGATTTTCGAAGTACGATTCGTATCAATTTAAAGATGTTTAATTGTACCTCTTTCGAGTCTTACCAGTTTGACGTGCAAATTGGTATGGAATGTAGACAGTAAACGTCAATGCTACGTGATCGTACACCTAAGTAATATGTATACTTTTCATTTCTAGATATCTCATAGTATTCAAATTGTCGGTACATTTTGCAATCTATTTTTGTAACTATACGTTTTGAATTAAAACGATAGGAGCGACAGGAAGGATGAACGAATAGTTCAAAGATTTAATGAAATTATCTTGGGTGCCGTCTAATTAGATTTATCGAGGCAATTGCAAAATGCAAAGTTCTTCAAGCCGTGAGAAGGTCCGCTTTATTATTTGTGCGATTTAAGCGAATACCGAGGTTAAATTTATAACTGAGGTGGTGGTGGGCTAGATGAAAATGTCGGAGGGTAAAACCGTGTTTCCGTCTTTCAAAAGATAATTATCACAGTCGAGTTAGTCTATTTCGTTAGAAAGTATATACCACGGTGTCTAATGCAAATTTTTCATTTCTTTTTCTTTTTTTTTTACGCAATATTTCGTTTACAAAGTTGCCTTCGTTGTTAAAATAAAATGAAAGATAATGAGAGTGTCGTTAATAGAAATTTTGTTGAAGAATTTTAAATACTTATAAAAATCATATGAATAAGATAATAGATATAGATTAATTTGAAGAAATTTCATTCTATCTAGGCTCTTCCGATTAAATTATCTGTTTCACGAGAGACACGTTACGTGGCACTTCTCGCACATTATCTTCGTCAGTTATAAGCTCTGCAATTTCATAATCAGCCAACTTCCGAGCATCATCTTTTCTACTATCCTACCTCTTGCGAACAGAGAAACGAGACTTATTCTCACGTATTTTGTGATTGTACAAATGAAGACATTTTAAAGATTAATGAATGAATAATCATTAAATTCAGGATTTTTCGAAAAATCAGCCAAGATAGTCATTTTTATTTATCTTTTAAACATTCTAATTGAATTTATTTATGCATAATATCTACGACTGTGTAAGAATCAAAATTTTCGAAAGTGCAATTTATGTACAAGTATACTTATTTATTTTATTATAAAAAGGAATAACTCTGAATAGATCTTATTTAGCACGTAAGAAACATGTTTTAAAAAATTCCACCCTAGTCTTGATTATCCATCGAATCTCGATTTATTCGCATCGTTTGTTCTTCGATCAAGCTGCTTAATCAAAATTCTGCTGTAATTGAAAATGGCGATGGAACTTTCCAACGGCTCGATGTGGACGTGTACGTCGCATCGTTGTGCGTTGAGTGGTTTAAAAATAAATTTCTTTAGTTCAAAGTGTAAATAAAGATAATCCAAGAATAACAAGATTAATTAGTAACATGTTATGCGATATTTAGAATTCATTTAAATTTCGATGCTATTAAAAAATTATTAATAGTATCTACTTTTTTAAAAATATATTCACTTATAGGAAAATATTGTTCAAAGGGCTTATTGTGTGTCTTATCTGTGAGCCCTTCGAAAAAATTCGAATGTTCGTTATTATCGCAAATTTTCAAGATACGTATCCGTGATGTATGATGAAAGAGATACGGCACGAAGAGAAAAGTTATACGTTCTAAAAGTGATATAATATTAAATTACAATGTGTCAAGACTCTCTGTGACAAGAAGAGTCAACGTTTATGTTCCCTCGCGATCTAATTCACGAAGGCAATTTACTTCGCTACGATATGCTCGTAATAACTCGATTGTTCGGCTTTTGTTTCGTTTTAGGGGCGAGCATCGTCAACGTACACGCGTTGCGTCGCGTCGTTTAATCTTACATAAGAAATATAAGTTGTGTGTGACAATATCATTTTGTACATCTACAGTGAGAAACTGACATGAAATATTCGAATAACTTTCCTTAGACTATTTTTTAGGACTAATTTCAAACATTTGGAATATTTTGAAATAATGAATTTTAGATGTCAAGAAATTTGTTTGTTTTATGAAATATGTAAAGAATTATACTTAATTGTTTTATACTTTTTTTGTAATTATAAAAAAAAAATATATGAACTTTTTTTTGTAGATTTTAATATTATCTATGTTAAGCTTAAAACTCTCTATTACCTATATAATTTTTTAAATAAATATAATTCGCATTAGGAGTAAATTATTTTAATGATACATTTATTATAAATTGTAAATATATATTTCATCAGGCACATTAATTTCTTTATAAACTTGAAGATTTCACAGTTGTTTGTTAAGTGTCTAATAAATTATTCCATATAAAAAATTGTTGGAATATTTCTGTGATTAATTGTATGTATATCGCGTGTAATAAAAAAGACACGTTGAATTATGCAAACGATAACACTGGCGGTAACAATTAAAACGAATCTCAGGAAATGTTGCTCTGTCTTGTAATAATGGCTTGGTATTAATAAGGCTTACATAAAAAGTATCTTCCTTTGATAATAATTATATTTTGGTTTTCCTATGAGCGTAAAAGCGACTATGAAGAAATGACATGTCCTGAAGAACTTTCTTTCTTTATACGATGACGACAATGCAATAAGTATATAAAGCATGGAAGTCAATGAGATTTATTATTTCATTTCTTCTCGTTTAGTAGTGATAAATCTAACGCTAGAAAACTAAATGCAGAAATAAATATTATAAGAATTATATTATTATTCGTAATTATATTCATAAGAGTTTTAGATTTGTTTGATAGAAAATTCATATATAATAATTTATATAGATTACCTAGAAATTTATCATAAATATTTATATTAAAGAAATGATTTACATTATAATATAACGAATGGATGAATATTTTTATAAAAAAGCACAAAACAAAAAAGACAAAGTATATAAAAGTTATTAACGATATAGTTAAGAATATAAAAAAGAAATATTTGAATATCAGAACACAAATAATCTGTGCTTTTATTAGAACACATGAGAATTTTATCGATGTACACCGTATCGGATACTGCAAATACAAACGTTGTAGCGTTTGTTCTCACGCATGTATGTACTTACACGCAGAGAGAGAGAGAGAGAGAGAGAGGGGAAACATAAAAATCAAGGTGTATCGATACAGAGGCGGTAACAAAATAGGTAACGGAGAATCGCGTCGTTCGGTTTTATCAGTTCGAGCAAGTTGAACGGTGTGCCAGAGAGTCTCAGGTCTGCCCCACATTTTCAGTCACTCGCACGCGACAGCGCATACCGCAGGTGCGAGTTGATCGTTCGCGAATCCTAGATAGATTGGCTTTTACAATTTTTTCTAATCTCGTCAGGTGATATCAATCGTTTTTACTTCGGTTCGAAATAAAAACGCGAAGTATTAATCGTTCGACAATAATTTGAAGTAAAATACGCTTTCGTTGGTGGGTTTAATAATATAATTAAATAATTACTTATTTTTTTCGGACACCCTTTTATTTTTTTATTCAAGAGTGTAATAATATTAAAATAATTTATTTTTGTGATAGAATTCTTCAATGATAAAATTGAAAATAAAGTTTATCATAATCTTACATAAATATGTGCACGTATATATAACACTATGTATCTAATATACGACTAGTTGCTTAGAAAGCGAAGATTCAACAAGTTAGATGTCTAACCTTGAACTTTCTAGTGTTTGTTTCTTCGAAAAAAAAGAAAAAGAAAAAAAAAGATCTTTTTGTCGTCGTGGCGTTGCATTTCACGAAGCGTAACGTCCTTGTGGACATCGCGACGTTAGTTAGTCATAGAATCCTAGATCCTTATATTCGTAGATTGTCTTTAATGCATTCTGGATGGGACCTCTGTTAAAAGTACTTTTCTCTTCAACGTTCTTCTTTCATCTTGTGAAAGCAGCGTCGTTTCGACGCGACCGTTTTTCGGGCCATCAATTTGTATGTTTTCTATGTACGTATTTAATATGTGTTCGTTTGTGTAGTAAGAGTGTGACCGGTTTTCTATACGTACCTTTCTACGAGAATAAATTTCTAATTAGACATTAAGAAATGTTGATAAGTTTTACATTTTTTTGTTCAAAATCGTTCATTGTCAATATAATATATAGATATATGAATAAATCAGTAACGTTGAATAGTGTCAATTCTATCTTGAAAATTTCATGAAAAAAATGTAAAATGTTGTGTCAAGATTTCAACGTAAGTCACACTCATGTTAGTTATCATCGAATGTTTATCCGAGATAAACTTTGATATCGTTATTGCGATTCAAAGGCTTAAGTTAGAATTATCTACGCGTTATCGTTCCAACGTTCATCGTTGATTTTATATGATATATCATTTTTTACTTAAATTCGTGGAAGAATCGAAGTTACTTAACGTTAACTTTCATTATTCTATGATATTACGATTATATTTTATACGTAAGGTATATCTATTATTTTATTAAACGGTAACGTCATTTTCTTCATCGATTCAAATTCACGAGGGATCGTCCAGCATTGGAATTTTGTTTCGAATGGATGTGACACGCATCGTTTCAGATCTAGCGTGACACAATCTAACGACTTCCGGTCTGACATTCACGAGCATTTCCGGTCTCTTTGCTACCCTTCCGTAGGCTCCAAATGAAAAGGGAAATCATTTGCCTTCGTGATGTCTGTTATAAATCAGACTTGACAATGGTGATACAAACAAAGTTCCACGCTTCGTGAATCTCGCCTTTTCCTGTCCATGTTGTATTAAATTTTATATCGTAACGTATCGATTCGCCTACGTCAATATTTGTTTGCCAAATAATTTTGACAAGAATCGTAATAATTTTTACCTGTTATTACTATGCAATAACATTTTGTTGGATTCAAGATTTTTTATTTACAAGTGAAATATTTTTTTATCGATCGTTTTATTATAGGAAATACATTTATTAATTATATAATAATTAATTTTTATAAAATAATTTATCGTAATCTGGATTTTTTTTATATGAAATGAATTATTTGATGTCAATGCTGTGTTTATTATTATATCTATTTATAGTACGATATTAATCATACTATTTTCAAACGTATATTTCTCTATATTAAATTGTAAAAACGTGCTTCTCGGAAATATTCTTCCAAGCTTAGCACAAATACTTCGTTATATCGGTATTTTCTTACAGAGTACGATATCTTCGTTGAAACGTAACGGAAGTTCCTAACGGAAAACTATAATAACGAGCAGCCACTATCATCTATCGCTCCGTTTTATCCTTACTATCACCGTTACGCTTCATTTTACCTTCATCTCTTTCTTTCTTCATCATATTCCTACGTATTAATTATCTATCAAAATATGTGATAAGCTCTATCGAAAAATTACGTTGAATCGAACAATCATTTTCCGATACATTCCAAATTCTAATTTCGAAATAACAAAATTTTATTAGTTTCAATTAGTTTGATTATCTTTTAATCATTAAAATTGTGTTTAACGTTTAGATTTACGAATTGGCGATTCGATTTGAAAATATTCTAATTGTGACGTTGTATATGTCGCAACGTTTGTTCGCATTTTATCTATTCTAATTGGTTGTAACTGGCTGGCAGGTGTATTTGTGAAACATATTGTGTATTCTGAAAACAAACTAAAGTTTTATTTACGTGGATCTAAATATTATATCATATTATTAATGTGATCAAATTTTTAAATCATTTTTTATCACTCATATACATGCATTATTTTTTTCACAACTGCACTTTCATCATTTTATTTGCGATAAAAATATAATCGTGAATATATAGTTTATCTCGAATTATTTATCTTTTTTTCTCTGACATTTTTTTATTAAATTTAATCACAACGATAATACTTCGCGTAATAAAATCATTTTTCGATATAGTATTTCATAATAGGAATATGAATCAATTAACGCGAAAATAATTGTATAGTTTTATAAAAGAATAATACCAATAATAACTTACTTTTTCTAATGAGTAGAAAACACACACACATTAAATTATTCATTTTATTATTTCGAAATGTTTATATTTTTACTCTCTATAATTTATATTAGATCTTTAATAAGTATAATTACAATTTTTTTCTTTTGCTATAATATTTTGTATATTTGAAATATATATATAATTATTAATTAATAAATGAAATATATGAAATATTTCACATTTATATTTAATTCGCAAAGTTCAATTATAGTGGTTCTTCGTTATTGGCTCGTTTTCGTCTCAGGTGTTCCATTTGAATTTTTTTTATTGATGAACTAAGTTTGCTTTGACTGTTTCGATGCACTGTAACCAAATACGATGCACAACAACACACACAAGTGTGGTTATTTAACGTATTCGGACGTAACCCTAACGTAACCGACGGAATACGTTAATGAATCCTTCCTCACCTGACGATCGGTCACCTGACTCACTTCCTGTAAACTTGAAAGAGTGCACACACGTTCCCTCCTTGCTGTTTCCGCTTATCGAACGTCGAATATCCGCTGATCTTCTTTTGTTCTTTAGTTCGTTAAAAATTATTATTTAAATTATTTTTACACATTTTTATAATTAGATACAAAATAATTTAGGAAGTTTATTATTATTATTATTAATTTTCTTCTCTTATCTCGATAATTGTAATATTTTATATAAAGTCAAGAAAGTTGCTAATATGATTATGTCAACTATTTGATTTATAATTAATATTTATGACACCACGTAGTTGAATTATAAAGAAATCACAAATATAGATCGATTTTTTTAATTATGTAAATATATATTATTATTATATAAAAGTCTTTTTTAATCTGTTGTTTGTAATTCCTCAAAAAATCCTACTATTTTTGTTTAATTCTAATAAAATGTTGTATAAATAATTCGCATGCATCTCTAATATGATCGACTTCATAATTTCCTTTCCTCTCTCTCATTTCGTATTCACGTCAGTTACATACAACAACCTTTTTTCTATCTTTCACTTGTTTATAATCTAATAACTTACTTTATAGTTAATATTTTCGCAAGTTAAGTAACCATAACTTTCCATTGGATCATAAATAGCAATTATATAAAATTTCATTTTGATTGAGGAAAAATAATAGGAGTTTTTCAAATATATTACAAGCTCACAGAAGGTTCTTATATTAACATTGTTTACGAAAGTTGTTAATTTGAGAAATTCATGTGTATTGTGCGTTAATTTGGATTAGGTAGGGCAAGATAATGGCCTTGCAATTAGATTGATTTGATATCATTTACGATGTACTTATATACTTAAGGAAATGCAACGATCGTTGTTGCGATTGAGAACAACGAAGGCGCAAGGTGCAACACGTGCCGCTCAACAGCTGTTTTCCGGTGTAATTCAGAAACGTTGAGTCTTATTTTTATTTTCATGCTTGGATACATTAGAAGATGATAGTAATAATGATCGACGATGTGGAGTGAATCTCACGTTTTATTTTTCTTTTACATTTATTATTTACAAACTCTTTAATACTAATTGAAGGCTTTTCTAAACCCCTTCGCACATATGTGATCTTTTTCATTTGGTTAACCAATAGAATGATGGATTATTGAAAAATACGTTCAACATTTTTAATACCTGAAATTTCGACGTTTGAATTGAATAAAATTATTTGCTTCGAAATTATTTCTATGAATTTGTTGAACAATTTCGTTTTTATATCTAAAAATAATTATTAAATATATTTAAATATATACAGAGTACATTCGAAACCTTTTCGTATGCTTTTAAAAATAGAATAATATTTCATTTGAACACTTTGCAGAGCACGCGAATTGTGCGTGCCTACTATTGGTGCTGCTATTGCACTTTTTCCGCGAACGTGTAGAAACTTTCTTTAATTTAAATTTCTATAAAATATAAGAGCTGCTTCAAATAATAAAATATATAATAAATATTTCACATTATATAATTTATATATAAAATACTATAAAGTAACAATATATGTTATATATATATACACTTTAGTTTCTTTATGAAATTTGGTAAAATTTAAACAGATGAATTTATGCAATCTAATATCATCAAATGCACAAATATTAGGATTCTGTTAATTTGTTTTTTCTTAACAAAGAGTAATCTATAAAAATCCAACAAAATTTTTCGGTCAACGAAATACAACAATAAATAATAATTTTAGTATAAATTTATTTATAATATTATATTTTAATGATAAAAATAATATACTTGTATATATTAAACATTTCCTTAATTCGTCGTATACACAAAAATTTCAGATAGAAAAGTAGATGAGATCTAGGAAAATATTAACAAAAGTAAAGCTTCAATATGGAAGACGACGACTTTGGGTTTACCAAAAGGGACAATAGAGCCCTAGTGAAGGTTTTAACCGTTGAAAAAGAAGGAGGACAAATACAAGAGGAGAAAGAGCTGTCTTCAGCGCCGACGAGGGCTGTGGCTGCCAGTGGAAGCGGTGGAAACAACGTTCCTGACCGTTCTAAGACCGCCCCCTCGTCAGTCCCAAACAACACGCCGAACATACCGAACGTCGTCGAGTATCATCTCAAAGTCAAACCTTCTTCTAAATCTTACAAACTCGAAGAACAATCTGTAAGTTAATTAACTTATATTTCATTTTAATTTATCTACAAAAACAAATCCATTATTTTTTATTTCTACTTTAGTATCCTTAAAAACCATGCATTTAATAATATTAAATTAGATTGAAAACAATATAAATTTAATCTATTAAGAAATCTTACAATTATATATGTATAACATCCCTACGAACTTGAAGAACAATCTGTAAGTTAATTAACTTATATTTCATTTTAATTTATCTAAAAACAAATCCATTATTTTTTATTTCTACTTTAGTATCCTTAAAACCCATGCATTTAATAATATTAAATTATATTGAAAACAATATAAATTTAATCTATTAAGAAATCTTAGAATTATATATATATTACATCCCTACGAATAAACGAAGAGTAATTAACGTTATCTGATTATAATTAGGTTAATATGAATTTCATTGAATATTATTACAAGTACCACGTGAACGTTCCCTGTCAGTTTATATTTTCATTTCATATTTACCTTCTTGTCAGTGAAAACGTGGTTAATCATACTAACGTATGTTACTTGAGTTCATTTAACACGCATGGTTTGTTTATCGTCGATTGGTAACGCATTATTTCCTATTATGCCAACCAATTTCGCTTTTTATGAGTTGTTTTTATACTTTCAGTAGACGTCAGTTAACTTTTATTACCGTTATTAAGTTTATTTCCTATTGTGTTTCGGTTATACATTTGTAAACGTATTTACACTAATGTATATTTACATGTATGCATAAATCTTATTACATTACCGCGTGCATACAATGAATCTATATTATTTTTATGTTCTATTTAATTATTACAGTTGTATCATTTCGAAATAATACAATCGTTCATAAAAATTATTTAGAAAATCTAAATAAATAGTATTTATGTTAAATTTGTAATAATCGGCAAGTTCCGCTGGTTTATAGATCTATTAAAAAATTTCATTCATGCAAAAATTTAATAAAGAATTGAAAGTTGTATTAGAGCTAGCACTTAAAGGAAATCGTTATCAGATTTCAGATGAATTTCTTAGATTTTCTAGCTTTGGAAATGTAATTTTTTCTATTTTTCTCTAATTATAAATGTGAACACACATTTTGATAAGATAATATAGATATATATTTAATCTCACACAATACGTAATTAAAATGTATTATTTATAGAAAAATAATCGTACAGAAGAAATGAAGAATTTGTCATCATCGACGGAAAAGAAGAAAGACCTGATAACAAAATTATCTCGTCTGTCGATCGACAATAATGTGTTCGAGGGGTCGACTGATTTGCCGCAGGTGTTTCAGGTACGGTTTAAGGCAAATACTTTAGAATGTTCGTTCGAAAGTACCTGCAGGTACGTGTTAGGTACAATTTCCTGTCTACCTGTTCTCTCGAGACTTCCATGACCATGTTTCTTTCATATATGTATATACCCACATATATCTAATATTCGTTCGCATACTTGTTTGTAATACCTCATCTGGTAAATAGGTGTCAACAAGCGTATTTACGTTGATATTCTAGTCCCATTAAAGAAAAAACAAGATTGATCTACCTGTATCGGTACCGATCCGATACGCTGCGCGCGTTTGTATGGGATTTTTATTGGTTGAGATAAATCGCGTGTTAGTAGCTTAAAACATTTAAAAAATATTATGACGTAATAAACGTACATAGAGATAAATCCTTGATCAGTTTATATTATATTTTGTGAAAAGGAACGTTTGTTTTGTCTAGGACAAAAGTAACTGAGTCAGAGATGTTTACAGGTCAAATATTTAGGATCCCACGATGCAAGGGGCCTCTGGGGCATAAAACATACCAGACAACCGGTCGATAACATGGTGACTTCGGCTAAAGCTTTACCGACCAATACGATGCTGCCTTTGATCAAACTAGTTGTCTCTCAAGAAGGTGTAGCACTTTTACCGCTCGACAAAAGGAAGCAGGAAACAAATTCATCGAGAATGTACGCGATCGAGAATATTTCTTATGGTGTACAAGATCTCGTTTATACCAGGGTATTCTCAATGATCGTTGTACGTGAAACGGACAATTTTCGAAGGGTTTCACCTTTCGAGTGTCATGGCTTTGTTTGCGAATCGAAACATCATGCCAGACAACTCACCTATGCACTCGCAACTGCATTTGAGATTTATTCGAGAAACGTTAAAATTCAGGACAAAGCTAATTCCGAAAATGTGGTCAGTAATACCAAGAAAAGGTTCGCCATTGATCTACGAAGTCCTGAAGAAATCGAAGCCGATCTTTGTATGGATTCGGAAGCGTGAATGATTTTATTTCTCGTTAATTAATCTTGTAATTTAAACGAACATTTCTTTTTTTTTTTTTTGTCGACATTTCTTTCGTTCAAATGTAATATGTGTAATTATGTTATTTAATGATACAAAAATTACATTTCGAACGATTTGAAAGATTTCTATGTTAATTTCGCGAAGAACATTTCTGTCGAGAACGTTGCATTTTATAAGAAACAGAATGATACAGGGTTACGACAATAGAAAATTGTTTCTATGCACAATTAATGAAAAATATCTATCTAGTGTATTATAGATTTTTGGCTTTATAGCATAATTCCTACAGAGTAAATTATTTCGAATGTTTATATACTTGTGTATATATTTTACTTAATTAAAAAAAAAAAAAGAAAAACAACACAATATAAACATATGCCAGGTACCAGCGCGTTGAAGGAGACAAACGATTCATATTATTAATATATTAAGTATATTCTATATTTTATAAGAACTAGTTATTATATAGAGGAAATACGGGTTTCGTGTATAAAAGTTGTTCAAATTTTATATAAGAAATAATTGTAATGCATTTTGTACATATATATATATATATATATATGTATATATAATGTTTTCTTTCCGTTTAATTTGAAGATCAACAATAGTGTAATTATGGAAGTGAACGTTCCAGCACCTTATTGCAATTATAATGATTTTCGAATGAAACGAAAAGATATTTTGATTTATTTCTTTTTGGTAAATATGAAAATGCAGATTATTGTGTGTTTAATCATTTTTATTGGCTTTACAAAGAAAGGTTGGGCATTGCCTATCCATAACATGATGGCTAGCTATCCAAAGATACTGAATAGAAGAAAAGAAACATATAGTCAGCGAAGGTAGTCGTCTATGACTTACCGAAACGATTTTTAGGATTTTGCGACAAAAGTGTGTAATAATGATCGCGTCTAAAAAATGAAAAACAATAATAATAATAAAAAAAAATAGTTTGGAATTATTTCTAGCCGCTTTGTGTGTTGAATATATTTTTACTTTTTCATTGTATAATAAGTTTTTTAATTATTCTTCGAGTAGTTTTCTTTTTAATCGAGTCTTATTTTATTTTATGATTTAATAATGTTTTAGAGCAAAGATTGGATGTACAATAAATAATATTTCCAGTATTTTTTCTACATAAGAAATTAGGAGACTAATATATCTTGCCGATACTATTTTTTAATCATTTATTCTCTACGTTTATTTAGATTTAATTATATTTATATATATTTAGTTATTTAAGTTTGAAAACCAATATCGATACATATCAATGATCACATATTTGTGTGTTTGAAATAACACTGTATTTAATATTACGATAATGGTATTTAATATTTCTATTTAGTTTCTCTTATTTTCGTTGTATTTCTAATTAGTTTTACACTAGATGCGATAAGTCACTTTTTTAGTAACATTATTTTTTCCATTATTGTGTTTAGTATGTATTATATTTAAATTATGTATTATAAAACACATTTTGGAGTGTTAAAATATTCTTCTGAAAGAATTATGATTTGAATTTTTATTTTTTCCGATGTATGATATAATTAGTGATATTTTATAAAGAATTGATTGAAAACAAAGTCGATATTTAATAACGTATACTTGTAAGATTACATACAAATCTTATAACAAACGAATTAAAAGTCTTTAAAAGAAATTTCAGAGACCATCGATTAATATAATTCAGAAAAATAATTTAAAGTTCTTGTTTTTACACGATTACTATTACTACTAGGAAAAAAAAAAAATAAAGATAATATAGAATATCTTAACTTAATACATATACGCGATTACTTACATAATACGTAGGCTTTTCTTTTACAATATCATGATTATGTATTTACGTATTGGAGGCAAGCGTATGTAGCATACAAAAGTGTTTTTTTTTTTAAATGTATTTCATCGTTTCTCGTGCAACGTAAAAGTCGAAGAGTAAATTTATTTGTGGTCGACGTTATTCAAAATTGTTGAGAGAACAATCTTTGTCGATTTAAAATTCTTGAATTCCTCGAGAATGGTTTGTTTGTAATTGGTTCAACGTCAGCGTTTGCTGGAACAGATCTTGTAGTCTCTTCTTCGGTATTTTCTTCCTCTTTACCAATTTCTTCGTTCAAACTATAATATTGTTCCGATTCTTCGCAAGGAATTGATTCTTCCGTTCGCGTACATACGAAAGTGGCCTTAACGACGATAATAAAATAATAATCAAAAAATAATAACGAAATAATTGAATAATATTATGAAATACAATAAAATATAATTACCTGATTGAAAACCGTTTCAGCAGGACAAATGAAACTCCATTTGACGACATTTCTTGATTGTGGTAGACACACGTGAAATATTTGACACTCGTTTTCCATATCAGCATAATATCCATAAATTCTATCTTTGCAAGAAAATGTATCCACGATGTTGTCTCGTATGAGAGTAGCATTGTCCGGTAATTGGAGACCACCTATTTGATTTTGCTATATAAAGAAAAAGAAATAATTTATTTATTTGTTAAAGTATATCTTGTAATAATAATTTAGAAAGAGTAATGAGATACTCTTACTAACTTTAAACACTGGTATAGGTCTTTTAGATTTTTGTTGCTGAGGAAGCGTATGTATCGTTGATACAAAAACACAAAAAAGTGTGATAAATACGAATCGATGCATCTTATTGATGATTAACTTTTAAGAAATGCACAAAATAATGTGTGTATAAGTTTGATTGGATGTTTTGTTCGGTAATTTTGGAAGTTTTAGCAGCTTCTTTCTTCGAAGATCCTGAAGTGACTGAAGATCCGAATCGCAGAAGGGTGTTATATAGCGAAGCGAGGATAAGGATCTTGAATATTGTATGAATGGCCAATTCTCAGTACGTCCGAATCAGTAAATTCTTCACGTTTGGTCTGCCAATGACCAATGACCATCCAGACGTTCACATCATCCTCGAAGGCCCGATGCAAATGGTCCGACCCGATCGTCCAGCCGATGATATGGTGTCTTACGTTCGATGGTAAATAATTCCTCTACTTAGAATTAATATTTATTGTTGGTCGTTGGTCGTTGGTCGATGAGAAGACGAGTCAAACGGGCTAGTCGATTCTGATTACCGAATTTGTCGTCGAGAAGTTCCTTAACGGATCGTTGACGCGATTCTTTCTAAACTGTCTAATCCGTCTACAGACGCTCGTGCACGATCTTCTATCGAAACATTTCATTTTTATTCATAGAGAGTACGACCTTGACAGGAGTGAGCTGACTCCTTGCATTTAAGGATTCTTTCGATCTTTCGAGCACCATTTTTCAAAGCACGCACCCAACAATGAAGATTCATCGATTACGAAATCGGAAATGAAATGCTAACACATAAGTGAGTGCTGATTTTTTTTTTTTTTAACAAAATTAAGAACAAATTGCGTTTATTTCTTTTTCGAAAAATTTTTATTTTTTATTTAAATCGTATTTAAATAAATATAAGTCGTTCATAGGATAAAACGATTAATTATATTTTCAGAATTTTTTTTCAATTTTATTGCCGATGCACTTTTGATCAATGTTTAATTCTTAATATTTCAAAATAACAATTATAAGCTTAACACCATTAAATAAAAACAATTTTTATGGCCAATTTTGATTAAATCTTGAATAAGTTTTGTGAAATATGATTTTCACTTTATAGGATATTTTTGACTGAATCATTTTTTAATGAAAAGGTAATTTTGTATTTTTTTTTTTTTATTTTCTTTCATTTTTGTTAGTAATATAAAGACAACCATTAATAATAACAATGGTTATAAAATTGAAAAAGATCATTTATTCTTGGAAAATACAATATTAGGTGTAGAAATTTATTCGACACCTTGATATTAAATTTATTGCATCAAAATTGCGTGATTTCTTTTTCGTCAAGGAATTCGTTGGTTACCTGAAAGATGGGCCAGTCATCGAAAATAATGGAAATTATTTCGAAGAATAATAGTTATATATATGATTACTTTATAAATAAATATTTTATTTGTTAAAAAAAAAAGAAATATCAAATGAATTTTGTACACGAAATATATATTTATTATTTGTTTTTTTTTTTTATTTAATCAAAGTTAAAATAATTAGCGACATTGAAGAAACATTAAGCATTGACTTCTGTCTCGTTTACACGATTAACATTTTACGCGTGAACTTTTGCACAGTATTTTCCAATATAAAACGACACGGTGATCCCAATTGGCTCGTTTTGGCTCCTTTCCAGTTGAAATCTCTCAAATGTGAGAAGATAAATACGTAAAAAAAATTCGGCCGTCGAAATTCGAAGGTAAATCAGCCAAGCCTCATCTTCGTTAAGGCCGCATCACGGTCAGCATTTATTCGGGATGTGAATACTTAACAATTCTTCGGAGTCCTCTCTATTGCGAAACCGAAACCACTTCTCTCCCCCTTTTCGTGGTCATCGACCATGAGAACGATGAAAAATATTTAATGTGACGAATTCTATGGACATCGATCCATTTCCTTTATTTTTCATTCTTGAAATTTCAACATTTGTAATTCATTTCTTCTTTTGTCTGAATTTCGATGAAACAGGAAAGAAAATTTGTGTACATCAATTAAGTATTACAAATATACTTATTAAATTAACATACTTTTTTTCTGTTTGTCTAAATATAAGTGCTTGTATGAAAACATTTCGGTTTTTCGATTTCGTATTTGTGTTTTTTGTTTTCTATTAAGATTTACATTTTATCTTGTTTTATTTAACTACACATGCAGCAGTTGCTACGTTAAAAATGATACCGATAAAAATAAAATTATATATGAGATGTTTTAAATTTCTATCACTTAATTTTTTGTGCGAATGCACGGATGCACTTGTACACGTGCAATTGTATTTTATTTTTTTAACGTAACTCAGTTATTCTTTTTAACCAATCGATCTCTTTTAATTATTTCTATACACAAATAATTTTCTATATAATATGTAGGTCATTAAAAATCTCAATACTTAACGATTTTTTTTAATATTATATTTTACAAACCTCAAACGTAACTGATCGACTATTAAATTTTTAATTTTTAAATAAAAAGATAGATTATATAATATCCGTTACACTATTGTTTTGTTTTTAGTAATGATCATTTACTTGACTCATTTTCTTTTCTATAATAAAGGGGATGAGAATTCGTAAGAAAAGATATTAAGGGTGTGCCGATGAATGCGTTAATCTTTTACTTTGATCGCGCGAGCACGAGAAGGTGAATAGCCTGATGATATCGCGTTGGTGTTTTTAAATTCTAAATGCATTTTACTTTGACCACCGAGAAGAAATACCAAGAGAATATTGGAGGTTCACTATTAAAGCGCTCGCTAAACTATTTGGTGAGAACAAGTTAAATGTTTTTTTTATTTTCGTCGGTAAAACAGAATAAGAAATATTGTGTAGGAAACTTACAACAACAAAAAAAACTACTTGTAAACACAATCATATAAATATTATTATTATTTATTATAAATATATACTTTTAGTATTTAAAGAATGTGGAAACGAGAATTGCAACAATTTTTTCGTTTTTATAAAATGATATGGATAATTAATACATGTAGTGTGATCAAATATATATATATGCAAACTATATTGATGTTAATTAAAACCAAAAAGAAAAATAGAGAGACTGATTTATATATAAATAACATATAATAATAAAAAGAGAGCATATGTGACGATGTCGGGGCAGGTACGCATGAGTAACTTTGGTATGATTGAAGATTCATCTCGTGACGAAAAGGAAAAAAAAAAGGTGAATAAGATATAAAAAAAAAAAAAAAGGATAAAGGGAAAGGAAACAATGAAATTGATTAGGACACGTATACGCGCGTGCAAAATACATAATTATATATATATAAGTTAAATAAATAAATAATATTAATTAAATATAGAAAAAATACAATTTGTCTAGCTTGCATTGAACTTGACTCGTCAAATAATCTGATAAAAAGATTTATCAGATAATTAATTCAATCATGAAATCTTACAAGATTTCAATGATCATTGTCATGCTCAGTATTATCTAGCGAAAAATAAATAAGAATAATCAATAAGACGTTGAGAAAAAATCGATAAACGAAAGGAATAATTTTTTGTTTGTTTTCTTCTTGAGTTAGTCTCGTTAATCGTCTTTTCTATGTCATCATCGAGTGAAATATATCACTGCTGAGGAACGTAAGAATTATAGACGATATCCTGAGGTGAGTCGTTAGATGATCTTCCCCAATAACTACCATGATGATCATCCTCGTGATCATAATGATGTTGGTGTTGAGCGTGCTCGTAATAAATCACTTTAGATGGTTGATTTTTCTTAAGATCAATCCAGAATTTGGTTGCGTTTATAAGCAAACTTATAATCGCAATAAAGAAGACCTTTGCTTGCAAATGCGTTGAAATCAATTGAAGGAGAAGAGCGACCTTGGCCTTGAACATCATCGCTAAAGCCATTAGTTTCTGCAGATGCTTCTTCTTCTTTTTTCCATATTTTTTTCTACGCGCTTCTTCTGTAAACAGACAAGAAATTGTTGTTAATGTCAACGATATCGATGTTAACGATTGATTGATTTAAACACACATATTTGCATATAAACATTTCGTTTTATAGATAACTTAACCTCAAAGAACAAATGTTTTCTGTATTTTACGATCGAAACTGTTTTTTTTTTTTTAACGTAATTTATCCTTTTTTTCCACAATATCGATATTGGGACAATCGGTATCCTCATTATTAATTTTATGGTATATTGGAAAGCGGTACGGTTTTTAACAGACATACGATTAAAATAAAAGATGATTTAAAAGCCGTTTTTATGTAAATGGATATTTTCACCGATATACAATTTCTTTTTTTTTTTTGTACCGTTTCAATCTCATTAATTACTTCATTAATTACTTTGCGAAACAAAAATTTACTAGATACGTTTAGTAGAACCGTAATATTAACTTAAACATTAAATTTGATTTCGAATTTTCCATTTTTTTCAAATAAAATGTATAAAATATAATAAATTTAAGAACTATTGTGTTTTAAAATTTGTTAAACTTAGAAGATTAGTATCATTTGTTCGATAAGATGATTTTAAAGTACGATGGAAAATAAAATGAACGAAAGAGACTAACGTAATATTACGTCCATTCTCCTCGACCGCAATTCGACTGGAAACTGTACGTTCAACTAGATGAGAAAAGGGCTTGGGTAAACTGACCTCAAAACCTTCACCTGGACCACGTTTAATTCGTCTTACAAGTCACATACTTACATTTCTGTTACGATCAACTTTTAAGTATTCCCTGAATATTATCTTTATTTAAATGATCTTTGTATCATACAAAACACCTAATTGAACAATAATCTATTCTAAATCGTTGATTAGAATTTCTAATGTAAGTTAATTTTACTTTTCTCTTATTGTTCGACACAAAATTTTATGACGTATCGCATAACATTTTTTTGTTATTTTTAATTTATCACAATAATGATATATTTCTAATTATTGTATATGAGAATATATTATATGAAGTAGAAGTGTAAAAGAATATAACAATAAGTTAAATTTGAGACAAAATAGAATAAGTACACTTATATTATTTACTTTGTTATTTTTTAATTATAAAATTTATATTTTCTTTGTCAAATGGAATGAGAGATATGTTATTTGCTTTCATTTACAAAATTAATACCTAATCTTACATTGCATCTTAAATATTTAATATTATAAGCACTTCTTTATATAAAACTAATAATTCTGATTTATACTCTTCTGTCTGCCAAACAGTATTTTAATATAATAAAGATAATATTGATTAAATGTTAAATCATGGAAAAAGCTATGGTAAAAATTGCATAAAGTTCATAAAGAAGAAATAGAAAAAAAAATAAAAGAAAGAGTTCAGTACCGTTAGCGTCCTATTTAATAAGGTATGACATTAAATTAAAAAAAAAAAAAAAAAATTATTTGTCTCGGACACGGAGAATGAATGTGATCGCATGATCGAATCGAAAAATCTAAGGCCTACGCGTTTGATATCGCATGTTAATTCACAATTAATGTTCTCGACAGATTATCCTCCCACGATTCCAGAAAAAGGTTTCAATTGCGACGTTTACACGCGCGAGTTACGATCTTTGCGTTTTATATTTCATAAGAATAAACTCTTTACGAATGAATAAATGTTAAGTTCGTTGACCCTGAACATCAATCGAGTATATGAAAAACCACGAATTTGTCTACTTTTATTAATTTTTACTAACGCAGAATATTAATTCTTTTTTTTTTGGTATTAATTTATTATATTGTAGAGATATTAAAATGAAGTTCAAAGAAATTCGCTCAATCAAGGACGATTCATAATAACGAGAACAATTGGAAAAGTCCATAGAGTCGACAGTTTCAAAGTTATCAAAGTCAACTAGTTACTTTCCTGACCTATAATTCGTTATAAGTTAGACCAATCGTGTATTATTATCATGATTAAATCTATCATCGTAAATATATGCGAAAGATAGCTCGTCTGAGTTAATTGACATTCGTTTTTTTCGAAATCTGTGTCAGAATTTCACGTATCACGAGCAAACAAATAAAATATAATCGAGCAAGTGAATACGCGGAAGAACAAGACTAATTTTCTATTTCAACTAGGCGCGAATAAGGGCCGCGAAGATAATGAAATAAAAAAAAATATATAGCCGAGTCTAATGGAAAGGTAATAACGTAAATAGGGGAAACAAACGAGGTGGAATTCACGAGGCATATCAATCAAATTAAATTCTTGATTTTATTAAACCTGTCAATAAGGTAGGCAGACGGGTAGCTTTAAGGTCGGTAAAAGTTAGCCGACTTTTTTGTCTTTAAAAAAAAAAAGAGGGAGAAGGTGGAGTACGTGGAGTAACGAAACACGGAAGAAAGTTAATGCCGTTCTCAGTGCGTGTCGTTGAATCAATTATCGATTAGAACGAGTTACGAATTTCTAATCTACTAGAGCGATCTAATCCATTCGAATTTTATCACGTTTATTAGTGCGGGAATTTTAAAATGAAGCTCTACAAGCGATATATATATATATGAATGATTTTCTTAAGTATTAATTAAATTTTTGTTATTTTTTTGTTTGTAAATATTATCAACATTATTTGTCAGGGGTTGCTTACCCAATGCACGACCGTCTACGTTGGCATCACGTTCGGCAACTTCCTCGTCATCCTCTTGAAGTTCCTCTTGTACGTCGCTTACGAGTTCAGCGATGAAATTTCCGGTCTGTTCGATGACCTCGCTCATTGGTGGTTCACTTTTTTTCCCAGAAACTTCAAGCTCGATCCTGTCAATGTCCCTTGCGAGCCTTTTCTTAAGACAATTGCCAACGTTATCCTCGAAGATGCATTCTAGGGTGCTTCTTTCCCCTTCTTCGTCTTTGGTTTCAGCCAAAACGATCGATGTATAAAGGACCAATGTCCCTATGAGTGATAACCAGATCCTAAACGACCCCATGACGTTCATTTTTTTGTGTATTCTCCTGTGCCCTACGGGCGTATTATTTCGGTATATGCAACCGCGGAACAAATCACACCTTCGAATCTGTCGTTCTGACCTTCACCCTCTTTTTTTTCAAGCTTCCTCCAACTCTCCAGCTTTTTATATCCTTGGGCAACGTGTCACAGGCACGGAGTGCTTGTTGAAGGTGCGTGGACAAGCATATATGAGAGTGGAGCCCCTTCCCCTTGAACTTGATCCAATCGTTGTGAACACCATACTCGTCTTCTTTCTGGGATCCTCCTCATCCCTCCCTCTATCCCCTTTATCCCACCTTCAGTCTTTCTTCTTCTTCTTTCTTTTCCTTTCTTCTTATTCGTCCACCTTCTTTTCTCTTACTCCATTCTCGTTTTCTACCTTCGTCGTTGTCGTTGTCGTCTTCGTCGTTGTCGTTGTTTGATCTTTCTAGTTTATTGTAGAGAAATTTTTATATACGGATATATACGAATCAAGGGGGATATTTATTACGGGACGCACATTCGAACAAATTCCTGGTATTTTATGTGAAATATTTGATTCTCATTGGTACAGGTTCACACTGTGTTTTATTATTCACCTGTAGTCCTATGCGATATTTCTTTTTTTTTTTTTTTTTTATGAGGCTTAATGAGTTGATTAGTTTGCGTTGCTGCTAGCAAAAGAAAATTATTGATAGATTTGTACGCGCGATGATAACATATAATATATTTGTATTTCGAGAAAATTCGATATTATAAAATTGAAAAGATACTTTTTCTTTTACTTGGAAATCTTTTTTTTCTTTTTTTTCTTTTTTCATGTTTCGTGTCACCTAATCCGTTTTAAAAGCACGCAGGATTTAGAATATGCAACCTGGTACACGTGTTTGGCGAGTACGTGGTCCGACCACAGAAATTCCACTTGAACTACAACAGGATGCTAATACAACCCAATTTCACAGATCTTCCGTCTTTATCGCCAATTTAAAACGAACTGTCGCCAAATCGTAGAGAAATCGATACTTTCCAAACGAATGGTAATTCCAATTTTTTTGCATTGGTCATTGTTTATCACAATTAAAACTTTTCTTTAAGTATATTTCAATTTATGTTTGTATATTGTATTTATTTCTTCTCATTTTGTAATCACACGCGTAAGAGATAAACTATTCTTATTATATTTCTCGTATTTACGGAAAAATTATTCGTAAGACGTTCAGTTGATTTGCATAATACTGAAAACGTCATGCCCGTCAAAAGTACAAAACCTTATATGAGTTTGTAACACGGGAACCGTCACGTTTCATTACGAGCCTTTGAAAGGTAATATGACGTTAATGAGCGTAAATAAAAAAGATTGGTTTTTCAAACACGTTTGTCTTTTTCTCTCTCTCTTTCTTTCTATCTTGTATAATGACAATTCTCTATTTTCTTTCATTATTTTTATTTTTTTCTTAAAAGAAATAATATAAAAAGAGAGAAATATCTAATGCACGAAAAATTTGCATCTCTGTAGATAACAATTAACTCAATTAACTTAACTACAAGGCTTATTAATTTTATTACTATCATTAATTTTAATCATAGCGTTTAAGTAATTTGCGGACTATTAGAACTATTAGAAAACTTAAAATCTAACATTACAATTTTATCATCCCTTTCATATATATATGTTATTAAGGTTTATGAGTATCTTAAATGAAATAATTTTTCGAAAATAAATAATTACTTTTAATTGTATTTCATTTTAATACACAAATGTTTATTTTAATAATTACTCATTTATATATTCAATTAAAATAATTCTTAATAATTTCCAAAGAGTTTCATTATATAGAACAATAAAGATAAATTATTGAAACTCTTTTTGACATTTGATCTATAATTTTTGTTTATAGCTAGACAAAATAAAAATAAATATAATATTTTAAGCAAAATTCCAAAGAAAGGAATATTCTGGGAGTGAATGATTTCTTTTTCCCGTCTCGTTCGATCCTGAATGAAAAGTAATATTCGGTTGATGACCGAATTTATCTGACACGTATTTCACTCTTGTATCGACACCATTTTCACTCAATGATCGATAATCGCCATTTTTATCACCGTTACGATAACCAGTCTCCTGATGACCATGCGAGGGTATCGAATAATTGAAATGATAGTAAAGATCGTTAGTTATTTTTTCGAGAGAATTGTCCTTAAGAATAATTTCATTGTTTTTAGTATCGTTAGAAAGAATTTCTTTAATAGAATTAACTTGTATCATTTCTTTGATAACTCGTTCCTTCCGTTCATTTTTTTTCTTATCAATCGGAATACGATTAATATTTGGATTGTCTTGAAATTCATTTTTCTTCATTGATGTCGTTGAGGTATCTTCATTTATGGAAATACTCGATGAAATGCGTTCTAAAAATTAATAATTTAATAAATGAAGTACGATATATGTGTGATACGTGTACTAGAAGTGAATCTTTTAAAAATATGTTTAGGAGAGAGGGAAAAAAAGTGAATTTATAGATTCTAATTCATAATTTCTAAATTTTTAAAATACGAAGCATGGTAACAATCACTTGAAGAACAGGTAAAGAGAGAGAAAGAGCATTTACTCGTGTAATACAGTGAGTGTCGTACATCGTCGTCTATTGTGTGTTTATGTGTGTGATTTTCAATTCAAATTCTAATATGTTTGGAAAGCATAATTTATATGATTCAACGAGTATTGTATTTTATCTTTAATTGAGCTGTTAACAAACCAATAAGAATAATTCTACTTTCAGAATATTTTTCAATTTATATACCAAAGTACTCGAGATTGATGCCCAACTCTTCTTATATTTCAATTAAATTTCTTTAATAATTTAGGCTTAGAGAGCATCATTAATAAATAAAAATGTGCCATTTAATTATAAAAGTGAACAATATTGTAAGTTAAACAAATAAATGTATAAATTTTATATTACTATTATTTATATTATTTTGTTGAACTTTTTAACTTACAATTAGTTCACTATCATAATAATTAGCAGGAATGATATGACAATTTATGTTACTTTATTAATTTTTTCCTTTTTTTTCTTTGGCAAATAAATGACTCAATTAGTGAAACATATAACGATGTATAACAACACTCACTGTATTGAATAAATCATGCTCGGTTATATTATGTTTTCATATGTCGGTCCTATTTTTATAACGACTATGAAAAATCACTCTCAATATGATTATAAAATTTTCACTCACACACAAAAAATGTCATTCCTACCTATGTTTTCTGTATTTTCAATCAATACCTCCATCATATTTTTTAATTTCGGTTCAATTTTCTTCTCAATCGAAGGTTCAGAGTTAGTCGTAAGAACTTCATTCTCCTTTTCTTTCGGAATTTTACAACCACCGCAAGATTTTGCTACTGCTTCGAAAAGTTTTCTTGCAGTTTCAGGTCTCTCCTTGAAAATCTCTCGTGCGTCTTTCACTTAAAAATCTCCAAAGTATCAACAAATAATCCTTTTTAACAAAATTAATCGCAAAGAAACAAAAATAAAAACCCAACTCACGACTTGTGATCTTTCGATTTCTCATTTTAGTAATAATAAAATTTCCATTTTTATCAGTGGCGTATCCAGTTTCATGATAAACTCCATCAGCCGTTATAAATCCGTATTCACCAGTGATAATCCCGTTAACGTCTTTTTTTCGAAAGAAAATTGTATTGATTAATTGTGAAAAATATAATAAAAACTAATAATTACTTTCTAACGTTTTCACATTCGAGAAACCATATTATTCTTTACTTTACCTTTTTTTTCATATCTATGTTGAAAATCGACGATATTGAAAGAAAATTCGTAAGGTCTATTTTCGTAATACGAATCATCGATAAGAGCACAACTTTTCGTAAACAAATACAAAAATAAAAATGAGAATGTCGAAGGATTTTTTAACAACTTAGAGAAATATCTAACTAATCGAAATGACATTTTGCAAAATGAAATAAACTGTTTGATGGAACTCACGAGACTAAAAGTGCAATAATGTTAATAAATTCCCTTGCTGCATCTCGACGTTGTGATGTAATCGAATATAAGCAAGACTAGAAGATACATCTGTCTTCGATTTTTTTTACAGGATATGCTGAAGAATCTGCGGTAAGAGGAGGGAAGAAAAGCTCGTTAAGAGGAAATAGAGAAAAAAGAATAAATCAACGACTGACTCTAACAAGGTTTTTCCTTCGCGATTACTTTCGCGCGTTTAGTAACGTCATTCGCGGATAATTACACAATGACAAATCTTGATCGTAAATCTCACGGATCTATGCCAACCGTTCGTTAAATAATTTCCGTTTGAAAGCTCGCTGATATCTTTTCTTTCGTTTTTCTTAGTTTTTTTTTATTTTATTTTATTTTATTACTTTTTCCATTTTCTTTTTTTTCTAATTATTATTTGATTTTCAATATTAATTTTTAAAATTTTTTCCATCTTTTCTCTACTGTCTCTCATTTTTTATTTTTATTACTCCTATACTCGATAATACACACAACAGAAAATATCATTATAAAATAAAGAAAAGACAAATATCATTATATTGCGAATAATTATTGACTTTCTTTCGTAGATAAAAAGAAATAAGTAACAACAGAATTATATATATAGAAGATAAATGAATAATGAATGAAATTATTAAATATTACAAGATTTCAATCGTATTTACTTATGAATATTAATTGTTACGTATAAATAAGGAGAAAGTTGTTTCTATACGACGAACCATCTTAGTTATTGTCCGAGACTTCGAAAGTTATTCGATGACTATTTTAGGAAAAAAAAAAAACACACGTATGTTTCTACAATTTTTTTTGCACCATTTCGTTTATTTGAAGAATCAATTAGACATCTTATACTAATTATTTTATGTTCCTTTTTTGTGTTTGTTAAATTTTCGATATTATTCGATAGGTATATTTTGAAATAAACATCTTTGGCTAGAAATAAAAAGGAAAATATTTGATACAATCGTCATAGAATTTAGGCATAATTTGCTTATTGTCAACTAACACAATGAGATTAGAAATCACTACTCACACTAAAGTACCGTTGAATTCTTTGTTTAACATTTAAGCCTTTCTTTCTTCAAACAGATTATGATGAGTATTGTGCATATATATATACATATACTATAGATAGTAATATAATTGAGATTCTTATCGAGTTTGTTTACCATAGTAAGTGATATCACGTTGAAGTTGTCCTTTCGCGATTTTTCTGCATTTTTTTTTTACGAACGCGAGCGTTGAAATGTTTACCTCGTAGCTATAGGTATGTGAGCACGTACACATACATCTGAATATTCAATTATTATTTATACATTCAATTCATTCTCTGACTTTAATCGTCGTTCAAGAAAGTAGACACTTTCAAAAGTGGATGCGTGATTAAAAAAGCGACGAGTCGAAAGTAAATAGATCAAATTTTAATCATTTCACGTATACTTACATTGACGTAAATACATATATATACGTGTGTACACGTATTCGAAAAGAAATGAACTTTATAAAATATAAATTATGAATCTTAAATAAAAGTAAATCACATTCCAACATATAATAATAATATATATATAAGTATATAAGTACATATGCTTTACGTGTGCAATGGGTAGTTTAGAAAACGGTATGTCGATGCAATTTGTATGGCCAACCGTCGATACAGTACCGATGATAGTGGCATACTAAGAACACCAATGGGGAAGGTGGGTTTCTGGCACATGTAAGTACGTTTTACGAATATCGAGACTTTCAAGACTAAATTCGATATTCGCGAAAATTTCTTAGTATAGTATTCCGAAAAACAGGATTTGAAATAGCTTACTTTCGGATATTTAAAATAATCTTTTTCCTGTTTTATGTAAAAACGACGCACAAAATACGTTGACATAGATTTTATTGTATTTTTGATATCGTATAAAGTACATTAAATGATAGGGGTATATAAAAAACTTCAATTTCGATTTCTATGTCTAAATGAACGAGAGAGAAATCGAAATACTGGTATACATAAAAATCCCTTCTCTCATTTATACAGAATTTGGACCAAAATGCCGTTACTTGCGGGCTTAAGTAGGTCAACCGGCATCTCACTATCAAATATACCTATGGTTATTCAGTCATGATTAAGAACCTACTTGTATTTTGAGATTATATTTTTGAAAACATTTTGGAAAGGGAAATCGTCGAAGCGTACAATATATAAACATATGCGTTATTATCTCATATTTCTTTTGTGTTTAAAAATTACATAAAATGTGACATAAATGAATTTACATAGATACAGATAAGTACATATTATTAATTTTTAGTCAAATATTTTTATATTTGTGTAACATGCCTTACGGCACTTGTTATACGTAGATGATTAAAATGTGTTTAATAAATTTATCGGCAATTATGACAATGAAATAAATAATAGAAATAAAAAAATTGATTTTATGTAAGTTATATATCATATTTAAAAAATTCTTTAAATTCTTTAAATATAAATAATATATATAAAATATAAAATGTAAAACTTATATTATACAATAAAAAACATTAAAATGAAATAATTTAAGTATACACAATAAATCATAAAATCAATTTCTCTTCAATTTTTTCTACTTATTATTAGTCCATTTTCAAATTTACCGGTGCAAATAAGAAAATCGGTATTGATTACGATAAAACAGTTTAACCTAAATCTATAATGTTGAATCGATAGAAATATTTGTATAAATATATAAATAATGGAAAATTCATGATATATAATAGATATAACAATATTGTTAGTATCACTAATATTTATCTACTTAATGGGAAAAACAAATATACTCTTTGACTTTGTACTATTCATCGAGAAATCTCAAACACTTTAACGATGTTTCATCTACCGAACCAGCCTTCATTATCTTCTTCATTCTGTTGATATTGGTGGTAATAATGTTGGTGATGTTGAGGCTGTTGAACTACTATTACTTCGGATCTCATGTTTACAATCATGTTGTATATCATCATTAGTATCGCTAATTTGGCAACAAATATGCTTCTTAACAAAGACATTTTGATAGATGCAAGAGAACCCGGCAAGGAAATCAACTAAAAGCAATCAAAATTAGTTTCTCTTACAATTAAATATAAAAAAAATGTTCATCAGGAGAAAATGATAATTTGTTAAATTAAGAAAAAAGTAAATTGTTTCACCTGCATAGCGAATGGAGCCATCATCATCATAAAACCGATTTTCTTTATCGATTTTTTTGTTTTTGTCTGCTCAGAATAATAATCTCTTGCTTGTATCGCATTTTCTATAAATAAATTTGTTATGTAAAACGTACAAAAAAAAAAATTATATAAAATTGATATAATATACATAGATATTGTGAAATATGTTTATATTTTTTATGTTTAAAAAATACCTCCAAATAATTCTAGTATTCTTACGTTGATCCATATTTGTCTACCCTTGACATAAAGTTTAATACCCGAATATAGATCCAAACATTTCATCTCGACCGAAGTTAAGTTATTGTTTGGCCTTAATTCAGTCTTCGCTAAAGCGTTCGTTACGGTCATTAGGCAGATCGTACTAAATATAATGCTTTCCACTTCTTTCATATCTCCAATAAATCTCGCACTCCGTTAGACTGAAAGTATAAATTCGATGTATAATATCGTTTCTATTATTTATTTGATAAATATATTTAAATATTATTTAACATTGTTATATTGATAGACATGTACATGATGATAATTGATTGATTTTAGGACCCACGTTAATAATACATTTTTTTACTCCTCTTGATAAATATTATAATCCCTTAAAATATTCGACCCCTGTATAAATAATAATACTATTTATAAGAAAAATAAATATATTAATTAAGAAAATTTAAATTCACTGTACATAATAATAGACACACTGTATATAATTTTTAAGTTTATAAAATTCGCTATTTCTAATTAAAACATTGATTAATGATACTTATGTCTACCTACTTGAAATAATTACTATAGTGTATATTAGATTAATTATTAATAAAAATTCGATATAAATGTTTGAGAAATTGATCGTACCTTAGTTATTAATAAGAAAAATAATCGATTGAAGGAAACGATCACAAATTTCGAGAATATAAAAAAGAGAGATTATCGTAATTTTCACATATTTATAAGAACATCACAACGATACAATTAACAGAGGAGTCGTCGTTCTTCCGTTTGATCATCGACTGGACTGTTCCATGGTCTGCCAAGCGAAGAACTAATATTTTTCTTATGTCCTCCCCGCGTAGTTACTAGACGGAAGCCTGGAAACTAGGTCTAGCTTACCGGAGAACGTAATCGTTTCATGGAGAATGCGTAACAGTTGTCCGCTCTTTCTTCGAGAAAGAAAAAAATATTGCATGACCTTGAAATTGAAAAATATATATTAAACTTTTTTGTCGAAGATCGAGACTATCTTAAAATTGGTATATAAAATACATAACGAATACGTTTTTATATATGCTGATAATAAAAATAAGATTATTATTTTATAAAACATTATAAATAAATATATTGTATATTACATATAATTGTCTATACGATTTGTTATTAATTTAATAAGATAATCACGTAATAATACGTTCGTTATAAGAATTAATTAATCGTTGACGGTAATATGAGGTATTTGCTTATCGTATATATCTAGCTAACAGTTTTGGTTTTGAAGTTTGGTCAAGTTTTCGATATTTTTTAATACATTGAACATCAGTATACGATGTTAATAAGTGTATGATATTAGTATAGGATATAATATATTAAAAATAAAAGTAATTGATCTATTAATGTTTCTTTTTTTCAAAAGTATTGTATACGTTTTTTGTTTTTTCTTTAAAATGAGGAACATTGTATCTATTATTTGGTTCCTTTATGTCAGTATTGCTTTCCTATTAATTCATAGCCTCCTTTGGTATTACATTCTACTAAAAGATAAATAATAAATAATGTGAAACTTAGCTACATGGTCGACGGTAACCGTATCCTAAGAATACCTTTAGCTAAAGAATAAAATATATAGTTAACTTTATAAATAATCTTCTGTAAACGAAGATTATTAAAAGTATAATCTCTCATGAATTAATATGTCACTGAATGAAATTAATGAATATGGCGAAACGTATATCAAGTTTTACGATGAGTAGGAAACTAAGTAATGTGTACATTAACACAAGAAATCTCAATCACAAATTCTAAAGCATTACGAAAGGCACTATAGGAATCACAGACCATCGATACCGTTCTATTTCTTATCGCTTTTTCTTTTTCATGTAATATTAATAATAAAAATAAATAAAATCCAAAATTTCGTGAGTTGTATTTTATCCCTTGTAATAATAATGTTCTTCGTCTTCAGGTCCGTTAGCGGTTTGCCAAGCATGATAAGCTTGTCCGTGAGCGTAAGGAAGATCATTGTGAACGTGTACATGAATCGGTTGAGGCGACCAGGAATGCGGTACGTGTTGTTGATTCCAACCAGCATAAAACTTGGCAAAGAAACTACTCAATTTTAGTACTAATAGAATGATCCCTGAAATAAAACAAAAAAAAATTAATCTTTGAATTAGTCATTTAATATCGATGTTCAATTTAAATGAAGGAGAAAGTTTTGAACTGCTTTTTAAGTAGGAACAAATTTGACCGTTAAGTCACACTTGACATCATTTATCATAAAAGTATCGAACGATTTCTTCTTATTATGTATTCACCCTACGACACTCGAATGAAATTACCGTTACTTTTGTATTTTCCATAGCATTTTCTTTTATCGTCGACTTACCGATTAAAAGACCTTTCAAAGAAATCACAGTGAGCACCGTCAATAGCGTCATCATCACTCCCATTTTGTACATCATTGGCATCAACATAAATTGTAATCTCTTGATGCCAAAAGTACGGCCTGTTTCGATCCCTTTTCCTGCGGAATTTATGTACCGTTTTAATAAGATCTTCTCCACGAAAGGATGTCACTGAGATATACGTGAGAATATCAAACTTTGTATGAATGATGAATGTAAAATAACAGTGATTTAGTTACCCGTTGACACATCTGTCATTTTCATTATATATTACATACATCAAATTAAATTATATTCATTTCAAGGAAAAATATTTTACATATTAATATTAAAAATACTATATTAAACACACTTCTACAAATACGAATTAAATATGAAAACTTACCTTCGATTACGTTTCCATCGAATATTTCATCGAAAAAGTGTCGAACATTTTCGAAATCACGATCTATTAAAGAATTGTTCGAAACTGTCGTTAATTTGTTATTTCGTAGTTCCTCGATTTGGTTGGACCCATAAATAACATCTGTTCGTTTATCGGATAACACTTTATTTGAAAATGACGCCAACAGAAAAAGGCACATCACCATCCAACCAATCCGCTTCATCTTTAGATCACTTGCTATATCACGTGATACCTTCCCTAATCATAAACTCTTTCTGAACACGACCGATTGTAATTGTTGTTTTGACGTTTTATTGAAATTAAATATGAAACATGAAGAACGTGTGTTAATCGGTCTCGCAACGAGGAGCCTTATGATTCGGACGAACGAAGGCGAAGTCGTTCGAACTGAAAATGGTAAGCGCTAGGAGAAATGCGCGTGCGCTCTGCGCATCATACCTCGTCCCCATCCACGACACTTTCCTCGTTTCGTTCTTTTGTTACACGTGGAAAGTGATTTCTGTGATATCATAACACTTGACATTGTTTTCTATACGAATTCAAAGAAAGTTCTTAATAATTGAAGATATATATATATTATTATATATTATTATTATATATATATATATAAGAAATAACTGTTTAGAGTTGTTACTACTGTTAAGTTTAAATAAACGACTAACTGTTTATATTGTTAGAGGAATTTAATGATAAAGCAATTTTAAAAAGCTCGTTGAATGTTTTTACGAAACTAATATAACTTTTATAACTTTTGTATACTTATAATTGAAAGGAATAGCGGTCGATAGGTATATATATATGAATAGTTAAGAGAAAAAGGATGATAGATGAAAAAGTTATTAATAAGAAACGATCGATTCATTTAATTTTTATATTCGTTTTACTATAACAGTTGTTCAGTATCCGACCAAAGAATATCGATGCCGATGCTTCTTTAATACCTTATAAAACGATCGTTACTAAACGTAATAATCGTTTAAATGGTGGATCGTTGGAAATATATTTATATCAGATAAAATGAAAGTTGAATGTTCACAATTTGCCGGTTATAAACATTTATCCTGATATATTTTTCGTTTATAATTAATTCCTATTCATACATATTAAAACTTTATGAATAATATAAAGACACACATTTTATTTCTTATTTTTTCTATGGTAAATATATAATTTGTTTTAACGTAAGTTTCTTATAAGACTTATGAATTTTTTCTTATTTTTTTTTTCTTGTTCTTTCAGTACAGTTATCTCTTGGAAGAAAAAGTAGGGACTATATATTTTGGAACTGTTTCGAATGATGTACGTACATATGTTGCAGGGAACTTTGTCCCACTTTCTACGTCACTGTCACGGTCACTGTCCGACGATCATTCGCGTACGACCGTCACCTTGAGCACGATTGTTTAACCATGAAGACAAGTCTTTATTCCATGACGATAGTCCGTAGCGAATCATTAAAATGATGATATTCGAATTACATATAAGTATATATTATAAAGGCCATTATTGATAACATTATATTTAATATAAAAGAAGAAAATACTATATTTATATTTATGACGTTTCTTCCTCTTGAATTTTATTTATCCATACAATCGCATTATTTCAACATAATTTTAACATACATATATACGGATCATATAATATATCGAATTAATGCAAGTGTTATCTGTTTGTTAACTAAAATCATTTTTAATACATTAACTATTATAAATAAAATATAAGTAAGAACGTTGTATGATGCAGTATATAATCAATAAAAATAATAAAAATGAAGATTTAGAAAGGATGTCAACTGACATTCCATATACATACCATGGATTTAAATCTTATTTCATGATAGAGAATGATTTATTCTATAGATAAATTCATGATAAACACCTACAAAACATGATCTTCTAATATTAATATAATATTCTAAACAAATTTTTTGTATTATTTACATATTTTTTAAATACTTTGAAAAATTCTTTCCGAAATCATTTTCAAAATTTTTCTATTACTATTAGAGAATGATGTAGATGTAGTATAAAGCATTGTGAATGTACCTTAAAACGTGCGGACAGTAAGCAGATAAAGAAAGAAAGGCAATACAGGTTTACTGTAGCATCTTTACGTTAAGAATCCAGTACGGAAAGAGAGATGAGGAAAGGGGAGGTAAGGAAGAAGAAGTAAAAGGGTATAGAGCAGCCATCTTAGAAAATAAGGATCAGTGGAAAAATGCATTGCATTCTCCTCTTCCCTCCATCGGCTATACCTTCACCGACGGGTACTTCAAGTCTCGATTTCTTCAAGGACTAAAAATTCAACCCCTTGTACTGAGAACGAAGAAGCTGTTTTAAACATGAACCTGAAACCTGGCTTGGACTTTATTCGAAGAAAACTGTCGGCCAATGTAATTTCTTCCTTTCTCATTTTATTCTCCCTTTTTCTTTGTTTTTCTTTTTGTTTCATTTAACTATCGACCAGTTTTTTTCGTTATTACGATGAATTACGAACTATTCGCGTACAAACGGAAAATGCAGGTGATTAAAAGAATATATTCAAGGATAATACAAATTTAGTGTTTATATGAATGCAGAAATTATCTTTTAACGTTTATGCACAAGGAATTCTAGGAAAGATGAATATTAGATAAAAATAATATCTATTTAATTACTTTCGATCTTTTTAATAACATTGTCGAACGTATTTGATTACGATCTACCTTAAGTTCTATACGATGTCTATTTCTAACACTAATAAATATTCATTTATTATAAATAGCATTCTTAATAATATTGATTATTATAATAAGAAATATGAAAATAAACGTTATATATATATAAAGAAATGATGAAAATAAATGTTAATTATATAACTAAAAACATATATAAGAGAGAAGAATATAAGTTTTAACTCGGTAAGTATAAAAGATTCCACGTTGTATCATCGATAGTAGACCTTAGATGCGCAGGGCCGTTAAACCATGAACTTGCTTCTCCTCGAAGTCTCCAAGGATGCACATAGAGAAGAATCGCAAAAATGGAAATGCCAGGTTGCTGTTGGTAGGGCTAGATGCATGCGTACACGCTCGTATACCTTCGTGTTCCGCATTGGAAGACGATGGTATGTGTATCACCATACGTGTGGCATGGCTGACCATAGACCGGCTCCGAGAAGTAGCCGAGACATTCGCCTCTCGACCGCGACCATGAGAGCACTCAACTCTCAACGCCTACTGCCAAGAACGAGCATCTTTCATAGTAATGCTCGAAACTATCATTTTATTTTTTTCATCCTAATATTTTTCCTACTTCACGGTGTATCGTCGCGAAGTGTATCCCACGATGATATTGACAACATCGAGAAGATAACATTGGAATCGTCAGCTCAGAAGGTCGATCAGGTAAGATTTAACAAAACGAGCCAAGAGAAACTTTTAGGATCGATCGATCCTCGCGAAAATGAAAATAAATTGCTCGAGGATAATGTCAAGAAAATGGAAAAGAATTTAGATAAGGATGATACATCTGTTGCGAAAAAAAGACGACGAAACGATCTTACGTTGACCGTTAAAAGTGAAGTCCAAGAAACTAATCCAAGATTTATTATCGGTCATACCGATGTTGATGTCACCAAGAACGAAGGTATTCGTAGATTTGACGCTGAAGTAGAATCAGTCGACGAGATTGAATTACCAAGTAACGATCAATCTTCGAAGATCAATGCAGATCAGAATAACGGATTAGTCAAAGGTGAACGTTCGCAGAAAAAGGCTATTAAGGTTGATGACGTGAAGAACAACGATGATTTTATTTTAGACACTCCGGTTGAATTAAACAATCAAAAAGTTGAGGTTTCTAAAATTGATGACGTGAAGAAAAACGATGATATTATTTTAGACAGTCGACAAGTTGAGGTACCTAAAGTAGATACTGATAATATTTTAACGATAAAGGAAGATATACGTAATAATCTTCGAAGTTTGGTAGCCAATGAGGAAAACGTTTCAGAAATTGATCGTGAGAAAGAACAAAGTTCAGTAATAATTGGCGAATCAATTGAATCGAAAAGAAATCAAAGGTACTTAGAGGAAACTCGAGGTAAGTTCAAGCACAAAAGCTCAACAGTGTATTTGAGTGCCGAGGAAGGTTCCGAAAGCCCTGATAGCGAAGAGAAATCGATCGTTGATAGCCAAATTAAAAAGTTGATATCTATTCGCGACGATGCATTAGGCTTGGTAAGCGATAATGTTAACAATAAGCAAAATGTTGACGAAGATAAAGTTCTTCAACCAGTAAAATTACTTGGAATCGATGATGTGATCGTAACGGAGGATAACGTTGACGACGTTAGAAATCAACGCAGTAATTTTCCGAATTTACCAGATACAGATTCTCAATATATAATAGATTATCGTCTTCAAATATTAAAGGACCAGGCAATATTGCTTCAAGAACAAATAAAAAATCGTACCTTCGTGAAATATTTAAAAGAAAATGCGATCGATATACTTCCGGAAATGTCGAAATTTAATGAAAATCAATTGTTGGATACTTTGAGAAATTTGGTATCGAAGAAAAAATTGACGAATTTGAATCAATCGTATTCCAATCTTTTGAACGAAACAGATTTGACCGAAACTCAGGAAAATATAATCAAGTGCGCAGAACAATTGATCGAAGTAGAACAAAGACAATCTTTCGTTAACAACATGTTCGAGTGTATTAGGGGATTCAGTGTGTTAAATTGTCTGAGGATTTTTATGTTGCCGATCCTAATCGATAACATTCCACTAGCAATCAATGAAGGCTTTGGATCTAATTTGCCTATAGAAATAAATTTACTTGATCTCTTTCAAGGTAATCGAGAAAAAATCGATAGATCTTCCTCCAACGTTTATCAAAAAAGATATTTAACACCTGAATCGGTCGTACTTTCGATATTAAAACAAGCTTTAGAATCACGCATCGATGTAGACAAGTTACCATACTTCATCGACTCGAAAAATGAAACTTTCCAAAAATTATTGACACCAGGACAACTAGAGATTCTTCAATTAGGCGAGAAACTCTTACCATTCGATTTACGTCGTGAATATACCGATAAAATGTTTTCCTGTGTACGAAGATTTGAATATCTCAGTTGTTTAAGATATTTCGCTTGGCCCATGATGAAACAATATTTCCCGAGTCTACCACTCTTTCCAGATTATCAAATTTGGTATCCGAGTATTACCATAGTACCCGAATATCCGATCGTTCCATTTCCTAACTTTTCTGACGAGGTCGGAGAACTTCCCGAGGTCGTCGATTCCGATGCCACCAGAATGAGAAAGCCTACACCGGAAACAGTGATTATACACGTTTTGCAGAATACTTTGAAGGACTATCATCCAAGAGTAGAATCAACATCGATTCCCTTTCAAGAACCAACAAATTTTTATACCGCCGTAATTCCTCCAGATCAATTAATAACCATACAAATGGCTGAAGAATTTATCCCAATCTCTCATCGGCCGGAATTTGTTCAAAAAACTGTTCGGTGTATACAAGAGTATAATTATTTGACCTGTATGAAATATTCGACTTGGCCAACCGTTAAACAGTACATTCCACAGCTTCCAGATTTCTCTTCGTTCTTCCCAGGTTTTTCCGATTTTTTCTCACTTTTGCCTAGTTTCTCTCCAACTTTTTCGGGTCTCTTCGGAGGATTTCTACCAGGTTTACCAAATATAACTATACCACAACAAATTTCACAGGTGGTACCTGTACAACAGATTCCACAGGTTCCACAGATTCCACAGGTTCCACAGATTCCACAGATACCAACCGAATTGCCTAGTTCTAACATATTATATAGAAAAGCTGATGATATTAATTTGAATTTGGAATCTAAAATCATCGAAACATTGGAACACGTTCGAAACACTTTAAGAAGTACAAATAAGATTCCTACGCAAACCGTTTCTGGAAACGTGATAATCCTGACGACTTTAACAGATAAACAATTTAAAATATTAAAATTGTCCGAAAGTATTCTTCCGCCGTCCGCTCGTGCAACATTCTTGGCACAAGTTCTTACATGTATTCAAGATAGAAACGATTTTATGAATTGTACAGAAAATGTCATCTGGCCATCGATCGCATATTACGCACCAAATTTGCCAGAATTTTCGCAAATAGAAATACAAAATTCATCGAACGAATTTTCATCTTTAGATAGTTTAAAGAAGAACAAAGAAATTTTGCAAAACTCGACGGATAATATTGAAGAACCGATTAATTCTGATGCTCTAGGAAAGTCAGCAGAAAAAATCATGTCCAGAACGTCTGGTCAAAATGAGATTATTTCTAAAACAATTTCTCAAGAAAGTAATGTTCCTGTAATTAGTATAACTGGTACAAGATTCGTGCCAATATATACGGAACATCCCGAGTCCGTCATACTAAACATCTTAAAAAAGATTCAACAATCTTCTGCGAATATGGTTAATGCATCAACAAAGGAAACTACCAAAACGCAACTTTTTTACGATATATTAAACGCACAACAACAATTAATTATTAAAATTACGGAAAATTTGATTCCCGAATCAGCCAGAGCTGAATTCGTAGATAACATCATGAAATGTATTAACGAATACAATTTCATACTTTGCTCGAGGGACATTCTTTGGCCTACGTTGATTGATTATTTCCCAGGAGTTCCTAATTTCCCAAATTTTGGTATATTTTCCAACGCACCAATTAATGGAAGTCCCATACCTTCTCTTCCGTCGCATAATCTAACGGAAGACAGTTCGAGTGCTGAAGCTTCTCATCTTTCGGAAACAAATGTTAAAACCGGACAACATGGAGACGCAACAGTGACAATAACAGACACGAGATTTGTTCCGATTTTCACCGAACATCCTGAAGCTATTATCTTGAATATTTTGGAAGCAGTAAGATTCTCTACGCCTAATTTACCACGCATCGAATCTACGACGAAAAAGGAAGATTTATCTCAATATTTCACGGATAGGCAATCTATAATTATTCAAACAGCAGAGTGTCTTTTACCAGAATCCGAACGTATTGCTTTCATTAAGAGAATAACCATTTGCATTCAAAAAAATACATTTTTAGAATGCACTAAAGATATCACTTGGCCAACCGTTCATCAGTTTTTTCCCAGATTGCCAAGTTTCCCTGAATTTAGGATTTCACAAAATATACCTAGAACGAAGTTACACTTTTCAATAAATTTGGATACACCAGATAAATCCGATCTTATTAACGAGCAAACTTCAATAGAATACTTTCAGAAAAACATAGAAGAGATTTTAGAAGAAATACTAATTAAAAACTCTAAACCACGACTTGAACATTCCTACTTGGATATCAATAATCCCATAATACAAACTATGTTTACAAAACAACAAGTCGATATTATCAGACTCGTCGAACAAGGTTTACCAGATCCTGTAAGACCAACATACATTAAAAAATTGTTAGAATGTATGCGAAATAATAATTTTATTGGCTGCAGTCAACACGTTAGTTGGCCTACTTTGAAAGTTTACCTCCCATCTTTACCAAATTTTCCTCAATTTGGCGAGTACTTTTCTCAGCTGCCTGACATCAGTCAACTACCAGGCATATCAGGAGTTCCTCAATTACCCGGTAGCTTACCATTGGCTGAAATACCTAATTTACCACTTCCACCTAGTATCCCTTCTCTTCCGGGTGGTATTTCACAGGTACCAGGAGTAATTCCTCAAATACCAGAACAAGTGGGTCAATTTTTTGGTCTACCACAATTTGGAAATATACCAGTAGCTGTTAAAACGATTGAATATCCGAAAGAGTTATTATCTACTGTACAACAATCATCGGCTAAAATGTTTGATTCAAAAAAGGCAAACCAGCCATTGGTACCATCGTCCACACCGTCAGTAGGTGAATCTATTTTACTTATTAAATAAACAATATTTTATCATACCTATTCAAACTATTGATCTTTGACTTTTTGTTTATTTGCAGATGATCAAGGCATAATCCCTGGATATCCTGGTCAACCGTCTGGAACCCTCATAGATATATCTACGGAAAAAGTCAATTTGTCTGATAAGGAACAAGTGGAATCTGAATTATCGAATAAAAAAGTAAGAAAACGAAGGAGCGTAGTAGATCTTTTCAGATCTTATCCAGAAACGATAGAAAATGAAAAAGAATCTTCGGAGAAATCTGAATCAACTTTTCCAAACATAGACGAATCCAAATTTTTGCAATTACTAATACAGGTTTCGAAATTAAATAATTTGACGGTCGATCGATATTCAAATGATGAAAAAGAATATTTCGTAGATACTTTGAATTCTACGATAAGAGATTCCTTGACCGCTGATCAATACGAGATTTTAAAGAAAATAGAAGATTTGAACGGAATTACATCAAATCGAAGTTTCATGACGAGAGTCGTCCAATGTATTCGCAGTTTGAGTTTTATCAGATGTATGGGTATATTCGTGTGGCCAGTTATATATAATAATTTACCGTCATTGTCAAGTTTTAGTCCTTTCGGAAGATCAATAGAGACAGAGGTTGAACAATTTTTTGGAATGTCTACGTCAGAATTCGAGAAAGAATTATTATCAAGAAAGGAATCGATTGAAAATTTCTTATTAGATTCTTATAAAAAATTATCTGAAGAGAAGTTCCAAACCAATTGGGGTTTTCTGAAGGTAAAAGGCTACGGTAACGGTGAAGTCAGTCTAAGTTTTGGAGGTTTTCGTGAAGGTCGAGGTACAAAAATAAAGGACAATAAGAATTTGCCGAGCATTCTCACAATTATCAGTGATATCATGGAAGAGGTTTTGGATCAGAGACCAGATTCGGATAAGAATAAAAAAGACAAAGATAAAAGAGATAGAAGTTTGAAAGATAATTTTCAAGACATGGATTATCAATTATTAAAGGACAACGATGACGATAAAAAAACGAAAGATCGATCGATAAACGATGAAGAAATAATTAGCATGTTCCTCGATAAAATAAAATCAAACATCTCAGATAATTCAGAAAGCGGTTCGAAAAATCATCTCAATTTGGAAGATGCTTATAACGCTTTTGAAGTTTTATTTGGTACTCGATTGAATCGTAAATTCATGAACAGACTGAAATCTTTTAAAATAGATCATCTAAGATCGTTTAGAAAAAAAACTACTGATGAATTTGACAAAACCATAGACATAGTACCATTCGAATCGGAGAGGAACAATTCGGAAGATTTGAAAGTAATTCCGTTGGATGCTCGATTAAATTATGATTTGGAGAAAGAATCGGACGATCAGATGTCAAGGAACAGACAAGATCGCACGAAGAATACTTTGAAATCATTCGTGAATAAATATTCGAATTCTTATTTGCAAGAGACTAAGATAGAAAGATCCGATGGTAATCGACTGAACGATTCTGATATTGAGAATAATATAAAACAAGAGGATAAAGTTGTTGAGAAAGATATTCGTACGAAATTGATGCTTCAATTGCCGCATCTCAACGAGGACATTGTTCCTAGAAAAATCACGAATACTGTTATCGAATTAAGCCGAGATATGAAGTTAAAGATAATGCAGATGATGCCTGGACTTGGTTTCGTTATTTCTTTCCTTATTCAAATGGCGCTTGCTCATGCACGTGCAGCTGCCACTATGGCCGGGATGCTCAGCAATATGGCTCTAGGTTCGGCCATGTTTGCAATGATTCGTCAAGCACTCTTTGGACCGAGCACTCAACCGAAAATAAAATACGTTTACGACAACGATAAGACAGAACCGGGTGTAGTTTGGCCTCCTAAAGGATATTACGCGCCTTATTATGGCTAAGAATAATAAATAATTGTCTAAAAAGTTGTTTTAGATGTAATCGAACGGTTATTAACCGTCCCTTTTCGTTGGGTTAGCTTTAATAACGTTTAATTTTACGCATATTGTTTAATTACGTTCTATCGACGTTCGAAAAACCTAAATTACTTTCAACGAACTTCGTTAATACGTATTTTACAATATTTACTTTGATCATCATTTCGCACAAGAAATATTCTCGTTTAATGTTACGTAAATTAATTTAAGAATAAATTCGACAAAATGGGTTAATACCTCGTATCTTTATAATTAGCGTTTATTGTAATGGTCAATGCGATTTTGTTGATTCGAGGTATATATTTATTTTCGTGGGACTTCATGGTGGAGGGTGACGCATTATCATCATTTATCTTTTTTTTATGATCCTCTCGTATAATCGAGAAATAATTGTAATGTATAAGCGTTAGTATTTTAATATTAATATGGTGTATAATGTAACGCAATAGGATAGATATATTCAAACAATCAGAAGGATTGTTCTTTCGTAGAGATTAAGACTGTCAATGGTACTCTCTCTTTAAATAGGGGTTACTAATTAATAAAAGATACATATTGTTCTCTTCTCTCGTATATTATTTCTTTTTAATTGTTTTTATTTCAAATAAATCTAATGCACATTGTTTTCGATTAATACATTAATTTGTTTTTAAACAATAGCAAGTGGCACGACTGTGGGTATATTATCTTCAACCGATTCTACTTTATTCAAATCTGTCAATTCATCGGAATAAGGTAATTCGTTGATATAGTACCTAGAATAAATACATTAAAGAAAATATAATACAATTATAAATAGAAAAAAATTGTGCTTACCATTTGTAAGCGTGTTCACAATTGTTTTCAATGTCGCTGCAAGCTCGTTGTCTTTGATCGAAGATCGTATTATTTGGACAAATCATTGGAAAGCCTTCTCCGTGTCCATCGCAAGCGTGAAAAATTCGGCAATCGTAATCGATATCGGCGTAGAGACCAATTAATTTGTTCTCGCAGGAAAATTCAAATGTTAAATTATTGAAAAGATTCAAATCGGTCGAACGATCCGATAAATCTTCGTAAGTTTCTAAACGATTACGTTCCTACAAATTAAAATTATACAATTTTTAGAAATAAATGAAAACAAAGTAAAAATAATTAAAAGGAAAATTGAAAAAAATTTGCAAAAGTTTACTTACGACATGTCCAAAAGTTGGTAAAGCGATGGTGGTACTTAAAAAAACTGTGCAAAAACGATAAGTATTGATAAATACGTGCATTAATATTATTTTGTTATTTTACTTACAATATATAATATTCAATATTAAAAGACCACTATTTTTGGCCATATTTATAGACAAGTTGAATAAAATTGTCACACAGTTATCGCTTGAGACAGATTTCTTCGATATAAATCGGTTAGAACGGATACTCGATCATGCCAGTGAAGCTTCTCGGTTGGCAATGCAGCTGACTTCTATACAAGCTGTTAGCAAGAGCTCGTTTTTTCTTAGTTAAGACACTTAACGAATACATTGACTTTAACGAGCATGTAATCTCTAAACAGATCCACATATTTCACATTACCGTAAGAGTAATTCTATTTAATAACTTCCTTCGCGTTCGTTTATGATCGACTAATTTTTTAAATATCAAAATGGAAGACTATTGAATCTAATTCGTTTATTCCCAATTTATATATTTTTCTTATAAACGAAATATTTTTTAATTATAAATAATTCAATTTATTTATCAACAACATAATACTTTGTTGTGATTTAACAGATGTCGCTATTAAACGATGAAGTTCAGAAAGCAAAGTGTAATGATCGAATATCGAAAATGACTTTCACTCGACTTGACGGATTAACAGTTTAGCTTTCTTTTTCCTCTACCCACGTTTCTCGTTACTTTTTCAATAATAATTTTGAACGACGTTACGAGATAAAGTATTTAAATTAAAAGGTATTTAAAATTTACATTTGTATAATAGAAATATTAATAAAAGAAAAAAAAGAGAGAGATAAAGAAAGAGAGAGAGAAGAAAAGTACAATTAATTCGTTACAATTATTGTTCCTGATTTTTCGATAAAATTACGAATATTCTGAGCACAAACTTATTGTTAGAAAAAAATAAAAAAAGAAAACGCATGGAGGTTGCTTGAGGCGCGAATAAAAAGTTTGACGTGTTGTTCAGCAGCATAAGGGCGCATGTCCACGAAAGGACAGTAAGTATCAAGAGTCGATGAGAGACGCCTCGCTTGCTTCTCTAGGCTTGCCTTTCTCTTTAGCGTCGAGTAGTGGTTCAGTTTTCACGGCAGCTTCATACAGGAACCATACACAGAATGTCTTGAAGAAAGACATCGTTAAACCTAACGTGTGTATAGTGACTTTGATCTTTTCTTCAATTTCATCTTTCTTACATACACATATATATATATAAATACATTCATATGTTCATCATCCTAATGTCAAAAGGAGGATAAAGAAAAAGAACGAAAGAAGGACGAACATGTGATACTTCGAAACATTATATACCTTTTGTGCAAAGTGTCAACGCAAGGTAGTTTTCATCAGTCGTGAATTAAAACGTCAATAGTGAAATTCGATCGATGAAAGGACATTTTGTTGATTAATAACGAAATAAAAAAGAAAGAAACAAACGGAGGAAGAAAGAAAAAGAAAACACAATAATGGGTTCGGCAATGTTATGGTGATTTCATTCGAATTAGATCGATCGTTTCCGCGCAACTTTCACAGAAACTTACTCAGGGTCGTTGCGTTTGACAGGTACTACACACGTGCTCTTGAGATAAGCGATCGTTCCACGTGCCTTTTGTACGCTTCATCCATTCAATTCTCTTCGTTGTCTCACTGGTGACATCGATGCGTGGATGAAACATTAACTCGATCACAAATCTTTTATATTTATCTTAAATTTAAATTCTGAGAGAAATTTTATGATAAATTACACACAAAAATTAGAATATTTAATTTAGATAGAATTTCAATTGGTTTTCAAACGAGAAAGATATTTCTCCTCGTTACCTTGTAACCAATACTATATCCGTTACACGAAGAAAGAATATTTTGGTCGAGCGAACCGCAAGGACGACCAGTGAAATGGAAATCTCCTTGGATTTCATTTAACTCTGAAAAGAGAATCTTAAAATGATTTGTTTTTTCATTTCTTCAAAATTATTTTTATTTTTCACGAAATCTCGAGGAAATGTATCGTTTACGTAAGGATCTACTCTTTCTTCTCATCTAACAATGACAACAACGATTAAAGTAATAATATCGGTTATTAGAAATCGTTGGAAAGTAGAACGTGGCGTAGAATTTTTCTCATTATAATCATCTTTAAACTTATTAAGGAACATCGAAAGTAGGAAGCCGTAAATTCCCACGAACCATCGAACGAACATTGAATCGTCATTTTTCTCAATTTTATTCTCGGACATATTTTCTCACCGTTAAAATCAATTACGAGTATATTTTCTTGAATAATCCACAAACTTCGAGCTGTTTGAATTTGGTTCTACTCAGGAACTATTATTTGAAACGTATTTCTCTTACAAATACAAGATCCGCGTAACAACGTCAAATCCCGTTTGATTACGTCATTAACACCGATTAATTCGATAGATTTTTAATACCAGTTACAAAGTTATCACGGAACAGGTTCGATTCGGTCCATTGCTTGTTTTGAACGAGGACCAATACAAGCGAGGTCGGATTCAAACAAGTGAAAGGAGATTTGATATTCCAGTAGAAGTTATTCGATATGTATATCTCGTAAACTTGAATGATAATTTAAAAATAGAACTAATTCAATAACCTAAATTCTTGATCTTATTATAATAAATTTGAATTTACATTATAATGTAAATTTATAATAATACTTTTTGTTCCAATACGATGATATAAAATACAACAATTAATACATAAGAGATTGAGATAGTATCTATTTATAATATTAATTATGAAAAATATTTCACACACACACACACACAGATGTATCTTTGTATATTTATTATTTATAATATATTGTAGGTAATTAGTTTCTATTTTATTCATCGCGTTAATTGTAGTATCCAACGTAGTTTCGCATCCAACGTTGTGAGAGTTGCACTTACTAACCGTAAAACTAGATCATCGTGCCTTTCTTTTCGCCTTCTTACACGGTTATTTACTAGACGTAAAATAAAGTATATATGCGTTGTTACGTTTACCAGGTCAGTGATTCCTTCGATTACTTTAATTATACGCTACTATTTTTATTCATCAAAACAACGCCGTGTTCTGTCATTAATATCTACGATATTCGTTCTGCTCCTAATAATTCGTTCGAGCATTCGAACAACTTACATTTTTTTAATGTTAATCATTTTAACTGGTTCAAAAAAAACTTATAATAATTAAGTCTCGAAAGTATTCGTACTCACTCACTGTCAATTTAAAACAATTAATATTTTCTTACAAAACAATATTACTCAATTCTAATACACAGAAATATATATTTTATAGAATTATTCAACTTTGAAATTTATATTAATTTTATTGTAAAAGAGAGCATTTGATTATAAGAAAAGTAAAACTATAAATAACTGATTAGAAAGTTGGTATTATAAAATATGTTTAATCGTCTTAAAAGCGTTATATAAGATGGAAATATCAACCAAGTACCATTTACAAAAATAATCATTGTATTTTTATAATATCTTACATAAATACAAATGCCCTCATAAGACAAATTTTTCAATTATAATTCTTTAACAATAAAATATTCTTCTACGATAAGATCGATATCAATTAGAAAGTTTAATAATCCTAAAGTGGTGTTTTGTAGATAAAAATTTGCATTACAAACAAATATCAATTATTTTAATTTTACAGTAGGAGTAAGTGAGTACTCATTGTATGTATTTATAAATAACTCTATGCTCGACACCGTTAACAAATTAATTAATAAACATTTGATATAACCTTAAAGAGAAAAATGAATTTAGAACGAACGATCATCGCTCGTCCTTTACAAAAGAGAAAATACATATATATATATATATTCGCGATAATCAGCTCAAGCCCACGCACTTTTCTCGTGGTATCTCTCCTTATCTTGATCGCAAATATATTTACGTATCTATCTACATACGTACTACTTCGCTAACGGTTCATTTTCTATAGAAATTTACGCGCGGTTACACAGCTGGCTCATCTCGCATAAGTATTTACAGTTATATTATAAAGAGAGAAAGAGAGAGAGAGAGAGAGAAAAAGAAATTCACGATGAAATGGTTTGATTTGACGAAAGCGGCAACACATGAACAATATTTCGTTTGAACCTTGACCGAAACTCGTTCGAATCGTGTGATTTTATCTTTTCACATCGAGTTAAATATTTCATCCTATCCTCATCCTCCTCTCGTCGTGTGTGTGAAAGGTTTACAATTAGATTTAAAATGTTCTTCTTCCATCCTCACATTTAACAAAGTCCATTTTATCGCGATAAACATATATCTTTTGTGTTTTTGCTTTTATTCCTATTTTTTTTTTCTTTTTCATCATGATTACGATCAATCTCTCACGCGTCTTTATAAATAACAAAATGTCTAATATTAAAAATCATGATTATGATGAAGATAAATATAATATATTAAAAAATAATCATCCTTTGTCCTTTATATTCGAGGACGTAGATCTCTCGATCGTTTTTCTTTCTTATCCGTCTCTTTTTTCCGTTATAAAATGTCAGGTAAATATATATCTACCTACATATACGAATTAATTAACTCAACGAGTTAAGAAGAGCTAGCAGAAGTTATTTCTATGCCCACGATATTTTTTATCTCTTCGGTAAAGGTAGATACACGAATAGTGAATCAACCGCATAAGGCATCACCGAAAAAAAATAAAAATAAAAAATGTGAAGTATAAAAGACTTTTCAAAGGCATTTTTAGACTACCATCAACGGTTAGTCACCTCTTGATCGTGTGGGATACAGAATTTGAATATCTTATTTCTTTTATGTGAATCATGATACAAGAATTAATTTTAAACATTGAATGTCCTTCAATGGAAAGCTTTACTCGCAGACATATTTACGTTTTAGATTTTTGTATGAATATTTAATACATTTTTTGTTGTTGTTATCGTCTTTCGTTTCATCGAAGTAGAAAATTTTGACGAGTTTCATGAAATAACATGACGAAATATTATTAAATATAATAATTGTAATAATTAATGTGTGTTTACGAAAATATAAATTATTATAGAAATGTTGCTGGTCCCTTTGGTACTGGGCTTGGCCCTGCCTATCATAGGCGAATATATTCCACCTGGGCCAAGATTTACGTGTCCCAAAGTACCAACTGATATTTATCCTTGTACTTGTATTCGTGGAAGTGACAGAGGACTTTACATTCATTGCGAAAATACAAATTTAGCCAGCTTGAGTTTGGCTTTTGCTAATTTGGGGAACGAGGGTATGCCCATCGAAGAATTAGTTCTGTATAAATGCAATATCGGTGAGAACCATTTTGTTTAATCTTAAGGATCTTTTGATTTTCATAATCTAATGTTTTAATTGGATTCGTATTAATATTTAGGACGTTTCTATGGACCAGCTCTTTATCCATTGGATGTAAGAGTCCTAAAGTTTATTGACACACCTTTGAAATTAATCGAGGAACACAGTTTTCTTGGTGTGAACAGAACTCTTCAGGAACTTTATCTGATAAATAGTCGTCTGGAAAAGTTCCCACGGGAAGCACTGCAAATTTTAGGTAATCTCAGTATTTTAAGTATTGCTGGACATCGTATTGTTATTTTACCAGGGAATAGTTTTGCCGAAAGTGCTGCAGCAGCTAAATTAGAAAAATTAGAAATCAGTAACGGTAAGAGATATCGTTATTTGGACTAAACACGTTTTACGATCTTTTGGTTTAACATCGATTATATTACAGGAACTATATCCTCTTTACCAGTCGAAGCTTTACAACCTCTGAAAAAAATGAAAACGTTGGATCTTCATGACAATAAAATCAAAGATTTAAAAAGAAATCAATTTAAAGGACTCAGAGATACTGAATTTCTCGATTTGTCTTACAATTTGATTGACAAATTGGACGGGTCTCATCTTGCCGATCTTACCAAATTGGGATGGTGTAATTTTTCTCACAATGCTATCTCAGACTTGAAGAGGTTCATTTAATTTTTCACGATATAAAATACAAAAGAAAAATTCTTATTTTCTATAAACGTTGTGTTACTTTGTTTTTTTTTTTGCAGGGGAACGTTTGCAAGAAATTCTGTCTTGAAGGTTCTAAATTTGAGTCACAATAAAATCAGGAAACTCGATTCAAATACATTCCGTGGCATGCGCTTCCTAAGACGTTTGTTTTTAAGTAACAATCAAATTAACGAAGTAGGCCGTGGTACTTTCGGTTCGATTACCAGAATCGGTACCATCGATTTATCACGAAATTTTATCAAGAAAGTCGATTATCAAATGTTCCATCAGCTACAATTTGCCGAGGTATGTCATTTCTAATTAATAATTATTAAAATATCTCATTTTATGATTAAATATCTGAAATATACAATTTGACGAGTGTACGACATTAACGTAAATGTAATTATGCAATATGCAGTTTTGCTATCAAAACTCGTCGTAATGTATACGTTTCTCTCGTGTGTCGGAACAACTTGTATATTGTCTCCGCCTGCGTCTTCGACCACTTTCACTTTTCGATGTGTATTAGAGAGATTGCTATCAGTACTCTTTAATTATCATTGCACAAAAAAAAACGCATATGAATGTGAGTCATAGTTAAACGAATATCGTAATAAGGGAAACGCCAGAGAACACGAAGGTATAGAATTATCGAGGATAAATTAGTTTTCCTCTTGTTCTGTTTTTTTCTTCTCTTTTCTTTTCATATCTAATTTCCTTTTGTTTCTTTTTACATTTTTCATAGCTCATAGACGTATCTGAGAATTTCGTGACAACTGTGGAGAAATTAGCATTCAAGGATCTTTTCTTAGCGAAAGTGAATCTATCGCATAATGAAATTGCAACGATAGAGCCTGGGGCATTTGAGAACTGCGCCAATATCACTTCACTCGATCTGAGTCACAACAAACTCGAGAATATTTCGAAATATTCCTTCGATAGTTCAACGTACGCTACCGAACTACTACTCAGCTATAATCTGTTCACCTCGTTGGGTCAGGTAAATAAAATTACTTGACTTATAAGAATTATAAGATTTATGAGATTCTAAGAAAGAGAAAGAGATTAATCGGCTGTCTAAGCGCGAACTAGAGAAACATCTATAATATAATAATCCCCTTTAAAACGAATTAAATATACGCAAATAAATACAAGTTTTATTTTAAAAAGCATAATTCAACTTTCTCTAAATTGAATTATTACAAGAACAGTTAGTATGTTATAAAACTGTTTAAAATCAAGGAATAAGAATTGTCGTAACATATGCACGTAAGCAATAACGTTACACATATGATTATTTGACATATGGTGTTTCATCATGATAATAGTAAAGTCACTTTGCATATTGTACGATTCGTTAAAATGATTATGAAAATAAAATCAACGGTAATAGGTAATATTCGTAATGATTGCAGGTACCATTGCATAACATGACTGGAATAAAAGTTCTCAACGCATCTCACAACTTGATACATTCGGTACCACGTCAAACATTTCCAAAGCTCTACGAGCTTCACACCATTGATTTGTCTTACAATAATCTCTCGGATATACATAATGGAGTTTTTCAAACGCTCTTTAGCTTACGATTTTTAAATCTCGCTCATAATTCTTTGGAAAAGATAAAACCATCAACGTTCGGTCCATTGCCAACATTACTCGAATTGGATATGAGCTACAATCAACTCAACGATATAGCACGTGGTAGTTTAACCAGATTAGCCAGTTGCAGGTAGTTATACTTTTTTGTTTTGTTTACTCTATATAAATTAAACATGATTTCCTGAATAATATTTTTTCAAAATAAATCCATATAAATTTGTAGAACCATAACCGTGAAGAATAATCGACTGAACAAAATATTCCAATTGCCAAACTCGTTGGGTCACTTGGACTTTTCAGAAAATATGCTCGAAGAAATACCAACGTTGGAAGTATGGCCTACGATGAACGCTCTCCTTTCGTTGGATCTTTCGAGGAATCGACTAGGCGATAATCTTCGCCATGGGAGCTTCGAAAACCTGTTGACCTTGAGGACCTTGAACCTGCAAGCGAATAATATATCCGTACCACCGTGGGAAGCCTTAAGTACTTTGAGCAGTTTGCAATATCTCTACTTGCAGGTCAGTCGCATTTGAACTTTTAAAATAACTTCAACGTTTCTTAGTATAAAAAGAATAAGAGGAATATAATTACGATTATCTGATTTAATAATCTCTTGATAAGTATCTATTAACATTTTCTAAATCTCTCTTGTGATAAATTAACCAAATTTTTGTAACGTCTGTAATCAAGATATATCGAGACACACACACAATTTTGTAATAAATATAAATAATATTTTACAGGACAACCATTTAACACAAATCGGCAAAGCAGCATTCGGTCGTTTACCGATCGTTTTCGAATTGAATCTTGCCAATAATCAAATTCAAAATATAAGTAATCGTGCTTTCGAAGGTCTACTGCAATTATTGACTTTAAATTTAACAAACAATAATATCAGTTACATACCAAACGGAGCGTTTCAAGGATTAGTTTCTTTAAGAATGCTCGATCTATCCTACAACAAATTAGAAAGATTGGATAATAAAACTCACGGATTGTTAGATGATTGTCTGTCATTAGAACGAGTCAATCTTAGTCATAACAAAATTTCTTTCATCACGAGAAAAATGTTACCCAATGATCCTTGGATTCCATACAGATTGAAAGAAGTGGACCTTTCATACAATACAATGCCCGTGGTAACGTTCGAATTAACAATCGGCGGAAAAAAGCTTCAATATTTAAACCTAAGTCATAACAATATTAATGAAATTCGACGTTGTAAGTAATCGTCTTAAATAAAATGAACTCTTTGTACTTGAAATGCTCAACAGAGCTTTGGTAATTCGAAATACAGGCACACTGTCAACATAGAAAAAATAAGATAAAAAGTAATAAAACAATAAAAAAATTTTGTTTATCATATTATCGAGTTGATGGAAATAAATGTGAAGATAATTTTCAAGTGCAAAGGGTTTACTTAAAATAAATAATCATATTGATACTCTAATACATTACGTGTAATAAATTTGATTTTATTTCATTTCAGATGTAATCGGTAATCTTACAGCTTTGCAATCGTTAGATTTATCTTACAATGACATCAGTGATATTTCAGAACCAAAAGTTTTTGAACCACCAAATAATTTAACTTATTTGTATCTAAGTCACAATCACCTAACTTATTTACCAATGTATAAAATTGTACCGATGCCAAACTTAATGCTTTTGGATTTAGAAATGAATCAAATTGGCGTCTTCGATGAGAGTTACATGAAGATTATTCAAAATGGCACGAGAATTCGATATTTAGGTAAATTCAACCCCTATAATTTAGTATACATTATTATATCTTTTACAGGATAAATAAATTTTAAATATTATATTCATATAATATATTTTTTAGGAAATTCATTGCATTGCGACTGTCACGTTCGACCATTGAAGAGATGGTTGAACACATTCAGTGAAATACCTGCAGAATGGTCTAACGTAACATGCAAAAGTCCAAGTTTCCTTTCCGAGAAGTTACTTTCTGAAATCACAGAAGATCTAATGGGATGTAGTACTAGAGAAATATACGAGAATGAACAATTGGATATAAACCCCGATGTGAAATATAGAAATATCGAGTAGTACGTTGATTTTTTTTGTAAAAATTAATTCTCATCTATTTGGAGAATAATAATATTAAAGAAAAAGGAATAAAATAAATATGAAAAAAAAAAAACCAACATAATTGTTTCAGTGACAAAGAAGATAAGAGTTGGAAGGCTACTTGGTACGTGACATCGCGAGAAGACATCGGCGACTTTTATGTAGTTGTACGAGAGTCGGGAAGTAGCAAGTCAACGATCGAAAAGGACCTCGTTTACAATGCCAGATCGTATAAGATTCAAGATCTACCTGGATCAAGAAACAAGTACGAGCTTTGCGTACTGGCAAGAGACTCCGAAGGAAACGTTAAACATTTTAGAGAATCGCAATGTCGGATACTGAACGAACAAACTTACGGGAGTTCGACGCATTTAAAAAGCAGTTTCTCTTTAATCGCGATCGTCCTTTCTTTTCGTATAATAATCCTTTGAGATTCCTTTAAAAGTTAACTTACCGATATCCAAATTTAACGATAATACTAAAGAAAATGATCACATTCGTATACACGTACTCTTACATATCTACATATGTAACACTCTTGACTGGCATCGTTATTAAAAATGTAAATTAAGAAAATAGAGAAAAATTTTGTAACTTAAGTCAAACTTAAGCTTAGGTTATATAGATATACATTATATATCGTATAAATGTGAATAGTATTGCCAAGTGCAGAATTGTATATATGAAGCATCCTGTACGAATGGAAGGGACGTTGAACGTCGGCTATTTATTTTTGTAAAATATATGTAACTACTATCAAACGATTATACTATTTGGTACGCTCGTTATTAAACACCAAGAGTGCATCCTTATCCAAGGTAAAAAATGGAAGATAAGAAAAGGTTCAAAGGCACCGCTCAAACGACTCAATCGTACCGAACGCTAACAGATCTAGCTTTCTCTCCCTCTTCTCTCTCTCTCTCTCTCTCTCTCTCTCTTTTACTCTCGCATCAATCGTTCCTGTGGTAAAGAAAAAAGCAAATTACAGGAGGGATAGTAATTCACGTGGGTACATTAAAACGCTGCTGTGCTTGGAAGATTGATGTCAATAATTTATAATTGTTAGGAATAGAATGAAGGTTCAGCAAATTAACGGACAATTGGTCTTAATAACCTTAGATAAAAAAAAATAAAAAAAAAAATAAAAGGGGGTCCATAATTAAATCCCACGAAACTTAATTCGTGAAGGATTTACAACTACGGCGTGAATCACGGCTATATATAAAAATAATAATTATAATAAATATAATAATGATAAAAATAATAATAACGATCGCAGAAACGAGCTGAAAATATTCTCAAGGAAGTAAGGACGCTTGCGCACGCTTGTTTCTCTCTACTAAAAGATCATTTTATTCTTTCCCCAAGTTTATAATTAGCATCCTGCTGCTTGGTCGGGAGTCGCTCGCATGGAGCAAGAAGGGAAACCCTTTAATGAGAAGGCAAGTCGGGATTTCTATGAAAGCGAACAAAGATTAAAATCAATGCTAGGACACGCATAAGTTTATACTATACATGTGTGTTGTATGCTATATATATATTTATACATCGACGTTACCATTGTCATCGTTCTCTATTGTTTTTTCTTCTTGATCACGCGTGCCTCGTTAACGCGAATAAATAAAAAAAAAATGTACACAGAGGCCGACTTTTGTAAAGCACGTGCGACACAACCACGACAATGTTCTAAGGTGTTTCGGTTAGACAATGGTCTCCGACATTTTCGTCGAATTAACGGAAACGTAAATTATTCATTTGCAAGGTGTACACGATCAGTGACTCCTCTAGGCAACGGAAAAAAAAACAAAAAAATCCTAAACGAGAATTTTCCTAATAGCTTTTTTGTTTTTACAGCTTTAGAAAAATTTTTTGCAGGATAAATTGATTCTTTATTTGAATTTAATGAAGAACGATTTTTCGAACGCGATCATAAGTTTTTGTAATTATAGTTGATACAAAATCATTATTCTATTTATATATATTTTAATTGATTTTTATGTTTATTCTTTTTCCATACCGCATTCATTTGAAATCATTTTTTTTCTAAGGTAAGTTTCAGTCGAGAATTTCTCAAAGATATCAAGGATTTCATGATAGCCGATCGTTTCCTTTCGACAAGCTTTCAACGATTTCTTCGAAGGAATGATCCGATCGTGCGATCGCAACCACTAGCGGTAACTCGTTACGAAACTCTTGGACACTTTCACCTGTAGCTCCGATAATAGAGTGTATCGTGCGCTGTCAGAAACTAACTCGCAAGTTTCACCGAGAATGAACGAAAGGACACGAAGTCTCACGAACTTCTTGATTGTGTCGACATAGAGAGGACAGACATCCGTTTGTCTAGCTAGCCTTTCATCGGGGACTCGTGAGTGAGTCCCCCCAAGGCTGGTATGCTGCGAGTAAATTTACATTACTTCTCTCTTCGTATCTATCTTTTTCCTTTGTGCATTATTATTATTATTATTTTCGATTGTAATCTTAAAATAGACAATTATTTGAAAAGACAAGTCCCGAAGTCGTTTAATTTTGATAGTCTTGCAAAAAGAAAATTCAGAGACAGGTTCATCGCGTGCAGTTTCCTAATTATTGCACAGGGGACACGCCAATTATCTCGGACAAGTATAAACGCGTGCACTTCCTCGTATATACGACATACACCGACTCTGTGTCATACACTCTTGTTCTTAAGTAAACGTACGTGCCGCAAAAGAACCACCCGTAGTATACCTTTTCATTCTTTTTACTTCTTCATCATTTTTTTTTTTTTTTGTTCTTTTTTTCTATCCTTCGTCTCCATTCCTTGTGGGTAAGCCAATACAGGATCGTTTTGCGTATTCTTCTTCTTTGGGAAGTGACTCATGGTAAGTCCATGTAAGGCCCAGCAGCGCGACAACCGTGGGCCAAACGCCGCCCACGTAAAAATATTATGCGCGCGCATCTCGATCGGTGAAAGGGAAAAGAAGAAAGAACGTTATCTGTTGCTTTCGAATATCATTGAATTTTTCTACTTCATCATTTCAATAACCTTTATGTGGTGCATTTAAATAGAAAGCCCAAGAAAATCATAGTCGTATGAACAACTATATGTTTCTTTCTCTCTTTTTCCCTAGCACGATTTGTTGTTTCATAAATCAATTAGATTCGAACGAGTTACACCTTCTTCGCGACGGTTCATACCAGTTCGCATTTACCTTCAATATAATGAATAGATATCCGACATATATACTACGGGTTACATGTGCAAGCACATACCAGATGTCTATCGTCCGGTCTACTCGTTCCTTGCCAACTTCTTCTCATCTATGTGACTTTTGTACACTGACAAGAAGTATTTCTACACAACGAAGTCAAGATTTATTATACCCATTCGACGGTTTATCAAAGCTCTTTTCTTAAATCGAATCAATTAAAAATAGAAGAAACTAAATAAGAAATGTTTAATACTGTCTTTCCATATTTCTATTTATTTATCTCTCTCTCTCTCTCATTCTTTAAAAAAAAAAGAAAAAAGGAACAAAATTGTTGATGAGAATCAAATTTGAAATGGGGGGGAAAAAAATGTTGTTATTTAAATCGTGAATCGTTTCTGAAGTCTACGAACGAATAAAATTCAAAGGTTAAAACGGGTGAATGTCTACGCCACTGTCGGGGCCTACTCGCGGTTCGAACTCTCCCGCCATTGCTTGGGCCAGTCAGTGTCTCTCGCGGCCTCGTACAGAGAGCATCTTCTTGCTCGAGACGAGAGCTTATTCGTTTGTTCTTTTCTCTCGCGTTCCATCATCGGTTCCCCTCCGCTACTTTCCTGTGTGTTTATAACCTTACCTTGTCGTCTCTCTCTCACTCACTCACTCTCTCTCTCTCTTTCTCTTTTTTTTTTTTTTATATTGCGTGCGTGCACGTACTTTCTCAGCGAGGACGCTCAGGTACGGGTGAGAAAAGTCGTCTCGTCCTTGAAGAAAGCAGACAACCAACGTCTAGATGAAAGTACGTCGAGACTAGACGAAAACATCCTCCTCCTTTTCCTTTTCCTTTCCCCCTATCCTCTCTTCCCTCTTCCTTCATCCCAATCTCCTCGTTTATATCTTTTTTTTTTTTTAATATCCTTCGAAAATTTGAATATTCTTCCTACGAGAGTGTGGAACATCACGAAAAGTGGACATGGCCGACCGTCTCTGGTATTTCCTTCTCATCTGGATATTTATACTCACGATTGCACACGCCAATGGTGAGTAACAAATTATTTTTCTTTTTAGATAAATTAAATAATTCAATCTATTGTATATATACAAATTTGAAGAGATGGAATAATATATTTTTTTTTTTCGCTTAAAGTGCAATCCTTTTTTTTTCTTTGTTCTTGAAAGAATATAAAGGGGTAAAACAAAGGAAATACGAAGTAAGTAGAATAAGAATGATTTACCATTAAGTTCCGCACTCTTACTCTCGTCGGGATCACCTTCGTTCGTTGGATTTTCTTGCTACGTACCTAACTTTTACGAAAGAAACTCGACAGGTTCGATTTTAAAGCGAAAGAGAAAATAACAGATTCACAACTTATACTCTTTGAAAAAAGAAACTTACCAATATAACTAGTGTCCTAGATCGTGACTACTGCAATGTGTTACGTCAGGTTAAAAGTCATTTGAACGTTCATTATCACTCAAGGCTAATCCGTTCTATATATTATCTATTTGAATTAGACTTTTTTTTACGGATAATTTGTTTTAAAATGAAATTGTGTTTATATTTGTATAAACTGCATTAATCGTTTAGACAGATTTTGATAATTAATATTATTAACGTTTAGAAAAATTATGCAGTATGCACACATATATATTTCAAGTATTGCATATATGGCATAATTTATGTTTACGTCTAGCACACGCCGGTCAGCCCTTTTTCCTTGACGGTGTGTGCACTGTGTGCACGAAGATATCGCACTTGTCTATGGAACAATGAATACGACTGCGACTGTACGTTTTAACCATTCGCTATGGGAGAAAAGGGTACGTTATTAAAACGTATATACTCCATAACGTGAACGGTTTAATACAGATGATCATTCGTATGCATAATATCTTCTACTTCTTCCACATAAGTTTATTAAATTCATTGTATTGAACGTACATATATAATAACAACGTGCTCCAAATTACATTAACTGGGGGGAATATACGTTCCCGATTATTTTCTCAATCCCATTAATTGACTTTAACTAGAACGTTAGGATGTTGCACGCACATAGAATAAATACAATGTGAATAAATTCAGAGTACCCCCTTGCGAATAAGAGAGAAAAATAAAAAAGGAAATAAAACACAGCATAGGTTCTGATAGTTGCATAAGATGCGTGAAAAAATCAAGACGTACGTATCTATTATAATGTACGAAGGGATTCAAGTATATAAGTACGTTGATTCGTACTTATAGTAAGGATAGGAATTATATGTCGATGAATCACGCGATGACGTAGTCCTCGCATGGCCGTCGACGCTTTCGAGCGTATACGAAAGGATTATTTGCACAAATGTTATTCCTTCTTTCCTCTACGCTCACATAGGTAAAGGTGCATATATATATATATATATATAGACGAGCGTGAAAAATTCAAATGGAAAAAATGATAGAAGGAAGGAAGGGTAAATCGAGCTCTATCTTCAACTCTAAGAGAGATTACTTCCCCTTTTGATGCCATATCGTTAATGGAATACGCTTGGAGAATCGATCCTAATCGATTTCCCTCGCATTCACGCTAATCTCATCTTTGTATACACAGGATATTATGCTCAACTCGATCGTCCACCATTTATCTATATAGATATACATACGTTCAAATAGAAAAAAAAAAGTTAGATTAGTGTAAGTAAGTGAGCATTTAAATCTATATAATCGTATCCTCTGTTATAAAGTATCGATCTTTTATTAATGCGAATTCGAATTATTGGAAAGCGAGATAAACCAAAATTTGAATAAGTAAAGAAACAGGGAACATCAGATAATAATCGGAATAAAACGTGTATTTGCACACTCTTTAACCAATTTCCATTACTACTTTTCCAAAGTCTTTTTTTTGTGTTATTATAAAATCCATTAGTTTATATATTTCATATTATCGAACATGGAATACCACCGCATCCTTGAAATTATTTTGTTATTCGATATTTTTAAATATCATTTCAAATAAAACGCAGTGTGTGTGTTCTAAACTCGTTATTAGAAAAATTGAGAATCATTTGCTATCGTAACGGATATTCTTCGAAGATAGTCACAATTGTTAGATACTTGGTAGCGAGTGAAAGAAAAACTGAGATAGGATGTTTATGTTCAAGGACATTCGTTCGAGACAGCCTAGTAATTACGACGGTATCGAAGTAAGTTGAATCTTACTGAGAAAAGAACTCGTTAAATTGTTTTCGATTCTCTAAAATGGTTAATAATAGAGGTTGAATAGAAAACCCGAACGAAAAAGCAGTGGGAAAGAAAGGGAAGGTGAACAGGAAAGTAATCTTCCACGCTTGAAGTTCCACACTACAGAAGTTTCACGACGCGTCCAGTCGTTTCACCCTCCGCCGTTCTTCTTTCAGGTATTCGCGGATCTCAAGGGATTTTAAGTGGCCACTAACGACGATTATTCTCCTCCCGTTGAATCCCATTCATCTTGCCATTAATTATCTGTGCATAAGCATACTAGAAACTCGTACGGTAGTCTCGTCGGAAACTATCCAAAGAAGAAATACGAATCGACCTATTCACTTTCGATGATATATTCCAGTGCTATCTAACTGGCTAGTAACTGGCGAAGTAAATCAATTTTTTTTTTAAATAAAAATTTCAATAAAATTCTATGCCAAATCAAATTAATAATTATTATAAACAAAAAAAAGACGTGTTTTAAATGTAGAAAATTTATAGCAGTTCTTATATTTGCGTATGCACTCATTTTTTATATGAAATTCATCATCTAACTTATATTTATACACATATATACGTTTTTAAATGTATATACATCAATATCATCATTTCTAAAAATAGTAGTTCATCGTACTTACCGTTTTACCGCAATTTTATTGAATCCCATTGCTTCATTGAATCATAAAGCTTTAGAAACACGCCATTTTCATTCTTCCTTTATTCGTTTCGTCACGAAGCGCGAATCGATTTGTACTTGGAATAGAAAAAGGAAGCTTTATGACAGGAGTCAACATGTTATCGGCAAATTTTAACGGCACTTTTATTAGATTCGAGAGTAAAATTTCTGATCGAATAGTAGTAAGTATCATCAATATCTAACGTTTTTCCTGAACGATGTTGAAGATGAAGTAAAAAATTGCAAGGATATTGAGAACCGCACATAATATTTGATTACTGATTGCCAGTCACCGCAAGCACTCGTGCTTAAAATATGGCATACGTTAACTATGATTTTCTCTATCAAACTTTATATAAGTAACATCTCTTTTTGTTTATAAAACAATAGCGCAACATTTTCATTATATTATATGCGTTAAATTAAATTAATATTAATTTAAAATAATTCATGTGTGTTAGTTTACAAACAATCCTAATATAACATTGCGCGAAATAATTGGATCGTTAAAAAATTTATCGACTGTAACATCACAGGCCAATTATATAATCAACCGAAATAGAATTCAGCTTTGAATTATGATTAAGACTCAAACATGTATGGAAATCAACCAAGAGTATATAGTACAATTCAAAATCGTAATACGTACATAAATACATACATACATATATAATGCATGTTCGTAGAAAAGTGAATCAAAAGTGGTCAGGCGCGTGGGCCTGGAACGCGAATGAGAGATCGTGCAACCAAGATCGGCAAGATCGAAAGTGCCTGCTAGAGAATGTTCGTGGTAAAGGCCACCGTGGGAGATAACAACTACGATCAAGTCCGACTATACATGCACCCACATCCATACATATATAATCATTTATTTATACAAACATATACGATGTGACATGTAAAATACATATAACTTAAATCGATTTTATTGTATACTTTTTTAATCATATTTTATTTAACAAAGTATTATATTTTAAATGAGAAGAGAAAACGTAATAATTTCTGATTGTATAAAAAATCCATAAATATTATTATTGATAATAATATATTCAAATTTATAATAATTCTTTTACTTACATATTAAAATATTTGATTAGATATTATAAAATGAATGAAAATACGATGATAGAAAAAGAAGTATTATTTTATTCAATACAATAGGACAATTCGCACGTAATGATAGAAGAATAGACATCAGTAGCTAAGAATAAAAGAAAAAGAAAAGGTAAAGAAGATGTCGGGGCGTTACAGCACTGTTAAAACCTAAGAACGAGTGGGGACGAAAAAGGCAAAGAGTCTTGGTATATAGGAATCAGAAGTGGGAGTGAGAGTGGGAGTGAGGAATCGGTTGGGAGAGGCCATAGGAAAACCGGTTGCCAATCTGCACGGACATTGAACAGCGCGCACGCGTGAACCGGGAGAAGAAAGACAGCAATAGGGATACTGGGTAAAAGGCCAAACAAACGGGAAGTCTGATTTTCGATGAAACGATGGGAAGTTTACCTAACATAGCCTGGCGAATTATGGAAAAAAAAGAAATAAGATCGTCTTAAATGTTCAATATTTTTTATCTCCAATTCTCCATGAGTACAGAAAATCTGATCGAGATATTAGAAAAGTTATAATAAGTAATAAGAAAAAAAGAAAAATATTATCATCATCTACAGAAGAGTTAAATTAGTATCTACGTATTTTGAAATAAACATGACGAGATCGAACTTCCGATGCCAACAAAGAACGTCGATATTCTTGCCGATGAACGATCGAACAACTTACGTACAGTTACATGAACGTGATCGAAGAGTGAAAAGAAAAAATATGAATGGTTCATGAACCCTGACACGTTGCTTCTAAGCCTGGATCTTGTGAATGGCGACCCAGCCCACGAGTCTTACGATCGACAGTTCCTCGTTGCTTCTTTAACGAGTCTCTTATACCATTACGTGATCCAGCAAGTATTAGGTACACTGTTATTTGTATACCAACGTATTTCTTCGTAACACCGTGACGAATATTTCGAAATCAAAACAAAAAGGCAAAGGATTGTTGTGTATTTTAATGATAACAATAAAAATAATAATAACGTTTTTGTTTTTTTTAAATATAGTTTCATTTTTGTCAAGGATTAAGAAAGATAG